ATTTAAAAAAAAAAACCTATTTTTTAGGTTCAGTCCAAATTTGCTCCGAACTTTTCTTTGTCTAAAAAAGCCACATTACTTTGTTGATGTGGATTTGTTAACGATATGGAAGTATCACGTCAAGTTGGGATTGGATCACGAGGGTGTATTTTTAAAAATAAATTGAATTTTGGTGATTTTTTTTACACAAAATAAAGTTCGGGGCAGATTTGAGACTGGACTTAAAGTTTTGGATTTTTTTTTAGCTAATAAAAAGTTCGAAGCAGATTTGGGATTGAACCTTACATTTGGAGTTTTTTTTCGAGATAAAAAAGGTTCGGGACAGATTTGAAATTTGACTTAAAATTGAAGGTTTTTTAGGAAATTAAGCTGCGGAAAACACAGACAATGGACCCAACACGATGAATGCACCAGCTCCATGTTCTTCGGAAAAAAGGGTCACTCCCTAATGTCTTGTCCTAGTCTAAGCATGACGTCCTGGGTCAACGTCAGATGTTTGCTGCTGACTTCTCCGGGTCTCTTTACCCTTTTTCAATGGATCCTTCTTATGGGATCCGCGTGCTTTTCGAATTCGTATGGACTCCATCTACACGAGATGTACTTACCGAGCTTTGAGAGAGCGAGAGTACGGGCGACATAGGCATATACATACTTTGTTCTACCTCTTCGGATTGGAATACATGCTCATTTTCTGTGCATCCTAACAAAATTTTGATGCGAGTTCTTCTGACGTGAACTGTGATATTCTATGTTTACAGTCTTGGGACATGAATCCTTGATTCCATATGGACCTGATCATTTACTCGCAATACTTCCGGTTTAAGTCCACAGGCGTCCCTAGTGAGCCAGCCGAGCCATTGCGTTTCCTGCTAAGCAATGGGACCTCACAAGTGCCGTCAACTTGAGCAATAGCCATCGCAACTTTCACTTCCGTAGGAAACAGGAGTCTTGCTAGGGCAACTGGAAATATTGATAAAATCAAGCATTAAGGTTACACAAATGACAGATCATAGCACATAGATGGCCCATTTTCTGTATTATGCTCAGAGGAGGCAACACGATGCTTGATGAAACAGTGAGAGTTAGAAAGAGGGAGGGCCTTATGAATCATCCATCATAAAAAATGCTTGATAATGTCATTGCACTGAGCTCTTGGAAACTCTAAGACGATGAAGCCAAAGTTTTAATAAGCAGATCAATCGCAACCAGTCAATATAAACAGAATCCTCTTCATTTTTGCAAGAAAAATTTGTTACACCTTGCAACAGACTGCTGTCCGGCTCTCACCAATGGTTTTTTACCGAGGATTGCACTACGTGCTAGACAAACATATTTTATTTTGAACTCCAAGTGACCCATGATCTGCACTAAAGCTTTCTAACTAAGTGTTTTTTTTCATTGGCTTTGCACCAGTGTAACAGCTAACACCACCGAGCAGGATCAGTTGCAGGAGCAAAGAGGGGCTATGAACAATACTGAAACAGGTAAGTGCGTACAACCCTATAAAAAAAGAACAATTTTTGTGAGGAATAAGACTCTAGAAGTGTCATAAATTCCATACGACACTCACTTTGGTGCAAAAACTTTTCGCCGGATCACTTCAATACCACTTTTAAAAAACAAGATCACTTAAGTGCCAATTTTGATTTGGGACGCCGAAAATCCGATGTGGCAAATTTTTTTTATCAATTTGTCCGTCCCACGTGGCTCACTGGCATGCCCAATCAACATTAATAGTCTCAAACGATGTCGTTTACGTGTCTGTCCAAAATATAAACCCTAATTTGGACTAATCAATCCATTTTCCCGAACTTTTCAAACCCTATTTCAGGCAAAACTTGATGAAGCCAAGCACGATTGATCGAGTATAGAAGGACTACTAGAAGCAAGCAAGGATTGAACCTGAGCAAAATAGTCACGAAATTAACTTTGAGGAGATAACATCCTACGTGACTACTAGAATTCAGTAACATGTTACTACGAATGGTTATCAAAAGACCCACTACTCGATGATCATGGTCTCAACACTTACCCCACGTCGACGGTTTCTTTCATAGCTTGCAACCCATCTTCCTGACAGTTATAACAATCCATATATTTCGGCCATTATCATCTATGGTTTTCGAGATTTGTGGCTCTTGCGAACCGGTGATCGTGCTGACTTCAGTTACTTCTGTTCCACTTAATCCCTATTTCATGGCCACATATTTTTCCAGCACTTCAACTAGAAGGAAAGCAACTGCCCTCAGCCTTTGTTATTTTTCTTTGCACGAACCCAATCTTTTAGTTCCCATCTACGGGATTTTTGTGAATTCAAACGACTTTTCTTCTTCCGTTTCTTTGTTCCGAGCCATTGGTTGAATTCTTCATCGTCTATAGCCCCTATCATGGCTACTATGAACCAAAAATGGGAGCATATGAGTTGGTTCGGATCAATATGGAGTCATTACCTCGAGCTCATTCTATATTTTCTTCCTGGTTGATTAAAGTAGGCGCGATCCAAATAATCTATATGCAGCTTTAAGTTAAAGTACCTTATTGTTCAGGGATGAAAGCCCTTCTGTAGGATTTCTTATCATGCCACGCACGGAGATCTTTCCATTGATAGAGTTGAGGGCTCCCCATTGAATACCAGTATTCTTAAGATCAAAGAGTCGGGTGGGATAGAAAGAAAAAAAGTTTATTGCAAAAAATTTACGCTTTTTGAAGGTGACGTTTGTTTAAAAAAAAAAAATTCCTTCTGTGTAGTATCCCCAATTAATGCTGCCTTAGATGCTTCAATTGTTAGTTGAGTCGTTATGATTGTAGCCGAAATTATTGGCTTCATGATCTGAATGCTAATCTAGTTCTAAATTCATCGACCTTTACTTCAGCTTCAGTTCCTCTTGTCAACCAAATCGAGTATAATTTATCAACACTTTATGATTCAACACTTAATAATTTTCTCATATGTCACCTGTCAGCAATTGTTGATCACCTTTCACCCATGTTTATCAACCAGGAACTCCCAACACTTAGCGGATTTTAGCTCGGCCATGTGTTGCTTGGTCTTTTCTAGTCCAAGTCGACAGTCAAAGACTTGAGCAATTTTGGGTGTCAACAATGTTATATATTTAGGATATTATGTAAACTTCCTTTTATTGATCTTGAATGATTGTAATTGATATTCTAAATTTTAGATAGTTGTAAAGTTTATAAATAGGCTCATGTACTCTTCATTTGATAATGTATAGAATATCACATTTTCCTCTCTTTCGCATTATTGCTAACTCTGTATAAGAGCTAATTGTTATCTAAGAAATTGCCGGTCGAGTCTCCACGGCCAATCGCACCGGCCACCGTTCTCCACCAAGTCCGCAACTTTCATTTGCAATTCAACAACCTTCCACTACTCAATTAGAAAAACTGAGACCACTAAGAGACTCGCCGCCCTCAAATGAGCTGAAAATTCGTCACAAAAAAAGGTCAATCGCCTCCACACTGTCCTCAGATGAGCTGAAAATTCATCCCGAAAAAAGGTCAATCGCCTCCACACTCGCCGGCACGGATCAGATCTACTCAGCTTGCCGCTTTTGAGCACTATTCCTGACGATTTCTATTGTTTGTTTCGCAAAACGAACACCACCAGCAGATTCACTGCCGTACGTCCGGCGAGCCAACCTGTGAGATCTCGTTGCCAACCACCCCCACACGCACCCCCACACGCATCGCCGGAAGCCTTTGCTTGCGTGTCAGAACCACACTCCATCAGAGCTCCACACGCCTACACACGCCACACGTGCCTTCCTTGTGCTGACGTCACCTTTCGCCTAGTCAGCATCATCATGTTCGCACCACCTTGTCAACTGCAACCGATAAAAAAAAAAAAAAAAAAAAACCTCAACCGATCAGCGTCCATTGACCGACGTTGACCAGACCGATTCGATCCATTTTTCAACTGGTTGGGACCCCGTTTTCGGCCGGTTCTTGGTGTTGTAGGTATTTTGGCGTGCTAAGTCTATTTTTGGCCTTATACTCTCCATATCTGCTTTGTAGGTACCAATTTCTTCATATTCCTAGTCCAATCTATTGTGTTTAAACCGGCAAAGTGCATACTATGGATAAATTAAAAGTTTCAATTCCAAATTGCTACCGACTACGACTTAAGAAAACTATAGGGCTGTACAACCAACCTCGAAACCGAGGACCACATGCAAGTCCATCGGCCATTGTTGCTACCATAAAGGCTTCTCCCAGTGGTATCTGTCACTCTTTTCTCTTATAGGATTTTTTCTTTTCTTTCTTTCTTTTTCTTTTTTTTTCTTCCGAGCCCAGTGAGGATCATTGGTCAACCCTTGCTGGTACAAGTGAGGGTCCAGCCGACTCTCATCGGCAATAGGCGAGGTCGTGACCCTCGCCTGCCGCGAGCAAGTATTGCTTCCCTCACCGGATCGAGGCAAGGGCCAACGAGGGTCGCCAGCCCTTACCTGTGGTCGGCGAGGGTCAGCCGGTGACCTCCCTAAACTTGGTAGAAAAAAAGGAAAATAAAGAAACTAAAAAAATTATCTATGTCAATGTCAGCTATCCTACGTGGCACTACCAGCGTCGACGTCAGCGATTTCCAGTTAAAATTGGCCAAATAGACTCAATTAGTAAAATTGAAAAATTTAGCAAGAATGTAGTAGGTTTAAGACTTTTTATACAATTTTCCCTTCTATTAATTCAAGTTTAAAGATAATATTTGAACATTTTCATATAGTGTAGGGACTGAATTGAATATGTACCAAAAGTATGAGGACTATACTAAATAAATTAAAAGATTAAGGATCATATTGAATAAATTAAAAGCTCATGAACCACGTGTTAACATGAACTCGAATAACATATCTTACCAAATTATTAAATGTTACATCAAGCTAGGGCCAAGAAAAGTGATGAAGTATCCGCTATGCCCACGGTTTCAACACGCCGGTCATTGCATGGCATCGCATGATGTACAATGAAAAACGGCGTACGCACGAGCCAACTGGAATGCTTAGGATGGACAAGCGCACGACACGCGGCGCTCATGCATAGCATTCGCCGACCAGGCGAAAGAGCCCCTCCTCCTCGTACCAGGGTTCATCCTGAATCAGATCCGACGGTCCGTAATCGCCACCGCTCTCTCACTCGCACCCGCGGCGAGGAACTCAACACCTTCTTCGCTCCGAGAAGCCAAGAGGAGAGAACGTGGCGACTGTTTGGACAGTTTCCCACGTATATAAAGCCGCGTACCATCCTCCCCTGTCACTCGTACAGTTCCACTTTTCAGTTCGAGTTCGAGTTCTGACACTCTCGCTCGTTATGGCGATGGCGCCTCACGGCGGCGCCGGCGGAGCACCTCGTGCGTGCGCGGCGTTTCCCGACAGCCTCTTTCAAGAATCGGGTCTTGAGTTGGAACAGGCAAAGCCTTCGGCGAATTCGCTTGAAGAAATCGCGTCCGTTGCTGTTCTTGGCGGCGGTGACCCCGGCGAGATGGGGTCTCCGCCTTCCCGTTCGGTTCCGTCGCCGAGAGTAGCCATTGGCGACCGCAAATTTGAAGCCGGGTCGCCTCCGCGTTCGCGCCTGTCCCGGCCCGAACCCTGTTCGGCTCTGCTCTTGCAGGTGGTGAAGATCAAAGAGGAAGAGGAAGAGGAAGAGGAGGTGGTGGCGGCGGCGATCATGGCTGATCCCAGGGACGCTGCCGCTGTGTCCCCGTCGTGCTCGTGGCGGACAGCCGCGGAGGAAGTGGCGAGGCCGATGGAGGGGCTGGGGGAGGCGGGGCCGACGCCGTTCCTGAGGAAGACGTACGAGATGGTGTCGGACCCGGGATCGGACCGGGTGGTGTCGTGGGGTTCGAGCCGGGACAGCTTCGTGGTGTGGGACCAGCACGAGTTCTCGAAGCAGGTCCTGCCTCGATACTTCAAGCACTCCAACTTCTCCAGCTTCATCCGGCAGCTCAACACTTACGTGGGTACTCCCTTCGAACGGGATTGTGTTTTTTGTCCATGTTTTTGCTTGAAACTTTCTCCATAGGAAAGAGCAAACTACTTGTGTAGATGTGTCCTTTGGTTTAACTCTGTTTGGGGTCTGTTTTTTTTATGTCGTCCAGAGTGTGGTCCTCTTGGGGCATCCAGCTACTCTTCATCGTCCCAACGGATAGTCTCCGGGGCGAAGAGGCTAGGATCCAAGGGACTCCACTCGCGACGTTTTGCTCAGGTGTTGAGATTCTTGTTAGTTGTGCTTTACCCTAGTTTAGGGGACGAGGAACGAAGGAATCTGAAGTGGCGGGCGAGATACACAGATTCCATATGAAATCTCATGAATCATGTGCGAAATGTTCACAACAGTTTGCATCCACTGGCCAAGGAACAATGGCCTGTCATCATATTCAAGTGATGATGCTTTAGACGGTAATTTGCAGAAACTACCATGTCAACCCTGACATCAGAACACCCATTAAAGAACATCTTCTCACTGGATTTGTATTTGAGTTCTTTTCTTAAATGGTAGATTTGAATTTGGATTCAGAAGTGCACTGCAGCAGTTCCTTTATAGCTGTTAGTATTTTGCATTTTACTGTTTCGATGCTCAATTTTGGTAAAGCCTTCTGACACCTCTCTTCTTTTTGGGCAAGACCATAACTCTGCACTTTTGGGTTCATATATATGGAGTTGACGGATTGATTTTGAGTCGTTTAATTGTCCATAAACTCTTTGTACTGGTATTTGAATCATTGTAAAGGATCTCTCCTTGACGTGCATTATAACCTGCGCTCTGTGTATATTGGCCTAATGATACCCCTTGTGCACATCTTCCATGGAAACTTTGTTGGCCATCATTCTGCTTACTCTCTATTTTTTAGCCTTTCGGTTCAATATGAACTCCTAGACCCAGCTTCCTCCTATCTTCAATTCTTCATGCATCATGATGCAAGATATGTCGCAGGGTTTTAGGAAGATAGATACAGATCAATGGGAGTTTGCGAACGAAGGTTTTCAGGGAGGGAAGAAGCACTTGCTGAAGAACATAAAGAGGAGAGGCAAACTCAGCAAGCAAAGGAAAACATCGAGAAGTAATTTTACTTCGGATTGCCTGAAAGTTGGAAAGGAAGGCGAACTCGAAACGCTTAAGAAGGACCAGGAAGCGTTGAAGGCCGAGATCCTGAAACTAAGAGAAGAGCGGGAGAACTCGCAGCATGAGATCAACCAGGTCACAGAGCGGGTTCGCAGTGCCGAGTGCAGGCACCAGCAGATGTTCCTCTTCCTCTCCAAAGCAGCGAAAAGCCCGAACTTTGTCCAGCATTTAATCCAGAAGAAAAGGCACAAGAGAGAATTAGATACTCGTGAATCAAGCAAGGAGAGCAAATTGCTTGGTCCAGATGGCGAAGCCACCAAATGCTTGCTCGAAGCAATGGATCCCAGGATTCAAAGCCCAAATGTTGATTGCCCGAGAATCAGTGATGATTCGGCACAGATGCAGTCTCGGCCAAATAGTGTCTTGCCGGAGGATTTTGAAGACATTCAGATGCGCAATCCATGGCCTTCTCCAGTGGGTGGTGGAGATTTCAGGGTTGCGCAGGGTCAGATGCCGGATCAGATGGCCGCAGCTAGTCTGTCACATTTGTCTTCGGTTTTCCATGAGATGTCCGAGAAACTCCTCGGAGACAATGTGGTCGTTGGTGACGATGCGGCCGATGTAGAAGAAGAAGAAGACGACCTGGCGGTGAATGACACAAGAATCTATCTTGAACTGGAGGGTCTGATTGAGAAGCCATGTGGTTGGAGTGAGTACACAAGTGAGCTGGTGGAGCAAGCAGCGGTTTTGATGCCCTAAATTTCCATGTACTCCTGCTCTGTTCCCTCTGTTATTTTCTTGCCCATTTGGGTTCTTCTTTGTGTATTTAAGCTGACACAGAACCAGCGTTGCTTCTCTTTTTGTGGACCAGATCACATGACGCAGCTTTTGCATAATTGGAGAGAGTTTCTGAAGTGAAGTCTCTTTTGTTTGACCGAACGAAGATATGCTGGAAACAGGAAGGAAGAGGGAATCCAACCATTAAACTAGGTTCTTGATATGTCAACGGCAAATGCGCATACGTGTACATAAGTAGATGTTTCTTCCTTTTTCTCCATTGTATCAGTCCCCTAAGTGTTCTCTTCTCTAGTTTGTACCATCTTCTTTTTCTTTTTCAGTGTGTTCTAACCAGTTATGTATAAAGAGAAGCTGTTTATAGTGCGAAATGTTCAATTTCAGTTTTTTTCCAAATGTTTTACACGACCAAATTCTAATCAGGAGTCACCAGTTGTCCATGTATTCTTACAGAGACATCTTTCTTTTTTCTTGATAGAGCTCCATGGGGTTCTTGTCGAAAGCTTCAAGTATGTCCAGAAGGATCAGTTGATTGATTGCACACCTTGATTAGACCTTTTTCATGAGAACACTGCTTTAGTCGATGGTGGTAATCATTCAACTGGTCGAAAGTAGAGAAGAACAAATCAAGGGCATCTTTCTAGCACTGGAGTTTCAATCCCCCAAAACACTGCCCGTCTTATAATACGACAAAGGATAGCTTATGAAAAGTTTTTCTGCTGATTGAGAATTTGTGACTTTTAGCTCTCTACTGAATCTACAGAGAATTAATCTGCTCCCCAATCTCTGACAAAATGAAACCAATTTCCAAGCCCCCGTCTCATCATTTGACAAGATTTGCAGATTCCATGTGGGTGGGGGCCAACTCTCTCACTCGAATGAGACCTCTGAGGACAGAAGTTAGGCCGGGTGTCCTCCTAGAGTCTGGCTCGAAATTTTATCTACATTGGGTGCATCCTTTGAGTACATCAATCACCCAAAGATGTGGCCCATACTAAATTTGGATAAGATCTTACTAGAGAGCGCGGATAAACACAAATAATGGACCAAGACAATACATGCACCAACTCCATGATGTTCCCAAAATAAGACCACTCCCTATTGTCTGTCTTAGTCTCGGCATGAAGTTCTGAGGCAACATCAGACATTTTCAGCTAACTTCTCTGCGTCTATTTACCGTTTAGAATAGATTCTTGTGTTATGTGATCCACACGCTCTTCACATTCTTATGGGCTCCATATGCACAAGAAGTACTTCTGAGTTTTGAGAGAATGAGAGTACAGGTCTGCATAGCAACGTTTCTATTCCCAGAAATAATTTTTTATCAGAAATAGTTTTTTCTATTTCTATTTCTTGAAACAGTTTCTGAACAAAAAATAACGTTTAGTAACTACACAAAATTTCTATTCCTGGAATAGAAAAAGAATAGAAACGCGTTTAGGGCGCGAATGATCCATTTCTATTCCATGGACGAGTTTCTCCCTTCTGGGCTACCGGCGGAGGACGGCGGGTGGCGGTGGGGGGCGGAGGACGGTGGTCGGCGGCGGCAGAGGATGGCGGCCGGCGGTGGGAGGCAGTGGAGCACGGCGGTCAGCGGCGGAGCACGTTGGCGTCGGGCGGCGGTGACGGCGGGGGGCGGGGCGGGCGGTGGCTGGCGGCGGAGGGTGGCCATCGTCGGTTGATGGAACACGGCGACCGGTGGCGAAGGATGGCGGCCGATGGTGGGTGACCGCCGGCGTCGGGTGGCCAGAGACTGGAGGTGGCCGGCGGCCGAGGACAGCCAGCGCCGGGTGGTGGCCGACGTCGGGCGGTGGAGCACAATGGCCGGCGGCCGATGGTGGGTGGCCGGCGGTGGTGGAGGACGGCGACCGGTGGTGGGTGATCGCCAGCATCGGGTGGTTGGCGGGGGGAGGCGGCCAGCACCCGGTGGCGGCCGGCGTCGGGCGATGGAGCACGGCAGCCAGCGGTGGAGGACGGCGGCCGGTGGCGGGTGGCGACAAGCGTCGAGCAGCGAAGAACAGTGGTCGACGATAAGAGCCGGCGGCGGCGGCGGCGGAAGGCGGGCGGTAGGTGGCGGCGAAGGACGGCGAGAGGCGGCGGTGGGCGGGTTGCGGCCGATGGATTGTTTCTTGTTTTTGGAGAATTCTAGAAAAAAAATCGTTTCTTTTTTCTTGTTCCAAAAACAAGAAGCATATTTTTTTTACTTCTTGTTTCTGTTTCAAATCTATTTCTGGAACACTTTTTTGTTCCAGAAACAAAAAAATAGATTTTTTTTACTAAACGGATTTCTGTTCTTTTTCTATTCCGGGGAACAAAAGAACAGAAAAACAAAGAAACAGAAACGTTACTAAACAGACCCACATATGATGCGGGTGTATCCATACGTACTTTGTACCTCTAGATATGGGAATACACGCTTTTTATGTGCATCCTAACAAAATTTTGATGTGAGATGCTCTACCGTGAGCTGTGATATTCTATGTCTACAGTACTTGGGACATAATTCCTTGATTCCATATGCACTTGATCCTTTACTCACACAATTTCCTGTTAAGATAACAAAAGGGATTGAAAGACCACCACTGGTTCACAGAAATGTCGAGACAAATGGCATCTCAACCAATTGAACTTAACAGACTCCCATCTTTCTAAATGCCCTATAAAAAACCCCTGATACAGAGATAAAACAGTAGATGCAAACCAAGAGAAACAAAGAAGGTTATGATACAACAGTATGCACATTTCTGAAATCTTACAATGATCTGTAGTTGATGTGGAGCTTTCCCTTAGGCCTCGTTGCTCCTAAAGATGAAGATGACGAAAAGGAAGAAACCTTCGATTTCTCGAACTCCTCCTTATCCTCGCTGAAAGCCTTGCTAAAATCTTCTTGAAGTTCTTTGAACCTTCTCCTCTTTAGAAGTCGTTCTTCCGGAGTGCCATTGTCAAGGCATGCTAGCCGAGTACAATCGTCGTCGGCATCCATAATCTTATCAAGGACATTCGAGCATCTAGGGAAAAAGTGTTTGCCGAGTTCCACTGTTCAAATGATGGTAGGAATCAGGCAAACATAATCCTCCGCTTCATATATATAAGAGGCATGTTATTTGTCCTATCAGAAAAACTGTGCTGATTAAAGTGAGTTACATGCAAGTCAAAGTGTCTTGATCCCAAAACCTTAAGAATCTTTTTTTGTGTCATCAGGGTGTAACAAATGCTAAAAGTGCAAGCTGGTCTTACATTTACCATATAAGGAATGTTCTGTCATAAAAATCTGCCACGTATATTTGCTTTCAGTAATAGAAATTGCAGCATGGCAGAGTGAATAAGTGTAGTCGCTGCTGGTTATAGCGACTAATTCATTAAGACCAACTCCTACATAGAATTTAACTCTCAAAATTACCCTTTCTAGATAGAGCAACCCTTGGCAAAGCAAGAGAGCATCTGATGCTAAAACATGACAAGTTCACAATCTTACAGTCTAGAGATTAAATTACCCGTTCGGGTGAGGGCTCTCATCCTTTTGTGATGCTGCTCTTGAACACCAAAAGATGCCTCATTTAAGTCCACATGCGTCCCTGGCGAACCAGCCAAGTCCTTACAACTCCTGCTAACTAATGGGACCTCACAAGTGCCGTCCACTTGAGCAATAGCCATCGCAACTTTCGCTTCCGTAGGAAACAGGAATCTTGCTAGCGCAACTGGAAAATTTGATCAAATGAAGCATCAAGCACAGCCAAATGACAGATAATGGCACATAGAGGTCAAATTTTAATATTATGCTCACAGGGCGTATATTGATGCAACACCATGCTTAATGAAACAGTAAGAAGTAAGTAAGGGGCAGTGCCTAGTGAATCCATCATCAAAGATGCTCGATAATGTCATGGCACAGAGTTCTTGGAAACTTTAAGAAGATGAAGCCAAAGTTACTATTAGCAAATTAATTAATTTAAACAAACTCCTCTTCCTTTTTGCAAGAAATCTTGTTACACCTTGCAACAAGCTGCCGTTTGGTTCAGGTCAATGTTTTCAACCAAGAATCTTTTATATGCTAGACTAACATACTTTATTTTGAACTCAAACTAACCCATGATCTGCACTGATGCTTTCTACTTTAAGGATTTTTTTTTTTTGGCTTTGCACCCATAAAACAGCAGATGCCTCCAAGCAGGATCAGTCTCAGGAGCCAAGAGGGGCCATGTATACTGAAACAGGTAAGTGGGTACAAACCTATAAACGAAGAGCAAATTTCGTGTACAGTATGCATGAATGTTACGATTAACTTTATGAGGATTTTAGGCATCTTGCTTGCAAATCACGAACTTGTCCTTTTCTTAACACAAGAATCAGCTTTTCTCTAGCATCAACATATCAATTGCTTGAGTTGCATCATTTCCCTTGGCAAAGAAGGTTATTTCCAAAATCCTATTTGGCTTCTCAATTTCGAGACTAGCAGCATCACATGTATCATTCTCCAAACGCCAAATAAACAACCGATTCATCTAAAAGAATTTATGTTTCAAAAGGTGGAGGCACTAAAATAAGTTAGCAAATGCCTTCATATATGAGCGTTGATGTAACAGTTCCTGCCAACTGATTCATTTGCCCCAAACCTTACAGGAGATAACAAGGAAACGATTTACGTAGGAACCAAACTAAAAAGGCCAAGCCGACAAAGATGTAAACAGGAAACACCTAAATGAAAAAATAATGAGGGGGATATTTCACAAGATCTCCCTTGTCATCCTATATGATCAAAGACATCATTATCATACTAGACATTGGAAATTTTCATTGAGAAAGTTTTAAAATGCAAAGGAACGAATAGATTCTCAACCAGACTAGTGGCTATATAACTATGAGATTTTGTGAGACCCCTACCACCTGTTCTAAAAGCTTAAACTGTTAAATGAAGACATTGTTTAACATTTAATTATTCTAACACTCCCCCTCACGTTTAGTCTGGCCTTTTTGCCTAGTAATAAGCGTGGACATGTTTAATTTGGCGGCAAATGGGGCCTGAAAAGATTTGAACTCCGGACCTCCAGCTCTAATACCATGTGAGATTTTGTGGGACCACTGCAACTGTTTTAAAAGCTTAAGCTGTTAGATAAAGACGTGGTTTAATGTTTAATTATTCTAACAGTAACAAGGGACTATTTCAATAAAATATGCTTCAAGAATGCTTGTCCCAGAAATCACTCTGTCTCTCTCGTTCGCAGACATGCACATCCCACAAATTTGTTTGATGATGGCCATTGACAGCATAACAAAGTGGCAAATAAGTTCCCAGCAGCACAGCTCTGTCGCTGTGTACATCTGAGACCGATGCAAATGCATCTTCCATCTATGAATCCGTAAGGAACACTAAGAGCGCCGAATAAATAATACGTTGGAGCTTGCAAAAAGCATTTGTGTAAACAAATAACTCCTACACCAAGCAGACATTTTACATACAGGTTCCTCGTATGTACATGTCAAACGCACTTACGTTAATAACCAACTGTATTGCAAGGAAGAAACTGGGCTTTGTCAATCTGTACCTTAAAAAGGGACCCCTGAAGTGGAGGAGGAAAAATAGAACCTGAATATCTTACCTCTATTTTCAAGATACAACAATCTCATTCGCAGATCATCACCTGCCATAGCAAGAGAAAAGGATGCTTCTCCAAATAATGGTTCTCTTTGTTCGGCTTGCTCCAATATCTCGACACATAATTTATCCTTTGGTGAAGGCTTTCCTTCCTCGGTAGACTTCATGTAGTCTGCAGCTTTTGTGCGCCTCTTACATAGTTGAAGAGCTTTTCTACCATCCGGAGTGAGATCAGAAGGCTGTGCTCCCTTCATTAGGAGAGACACTATAACCTTTGGCTCTTTCCTCATCGCAGCAACATGCAAAACAGTGAAGCCTCTTGCATTTCTACGATTCACATCGGCAATTCCAAGATCAAGAAGGTCGGTCGTGGTCTTCGCGTCACAGTATGCTACAACATAGTGAAGTGCATATGCATAATCCAGAGTGGTATGGCCCTCCTTCAGCAGCAATCTGACTAAGTCAACATCATCCGAGTCCAAGGCCCGATGAATTCTCTTCGCATGCTTGTCAGGGAAGTTTACACATTCAGGATTGTTCAGGCCAAGTTCCAAACGGGAATCGATGATTTGTTGAATGATAGAGAGAGGCAAGCCTTTCTCTAGGGTTATAGTATCGAGATCAGATCTCACGACATATTCTACACACTGTGCCAGCAATCCGTGACATTCATCACCACATATATTTGCAACCGATAGCACACGCAAAATGTCATCTGGGGCAACCTTGTCGAGAATGTCAAGTAGGTGCCTCTGCCAACAAAAGAGTCTGATTCAGTTATGCTGAACAATGCAACTATGTTTTGGCAATTTAAACTTGAAGAAAAATAATCCAGCATTTCTAGTCATAATCACCGAATGTAGAATACTTTATCGTAGTTTTCTCTGCCAATTACTTTTTCCAATGACTGCAGCATTACTGAGCGGTTTGACAATAGACAAGGTCTCTTCAAGCACATCATCATATTGAAGGGGGTGTCGAAACAAACATTTGTCCCCTTGTATGACATCAAGTAGGAAGGGAACTAATCGACCATGACATGACCCATAAAGTCAATTTAAATGTAAAAGGCTGATATGAATGAACTCCAAATTGTCAGATGCTCTTTACTAAGCAGGTCGTAGGTCTAGTCAAAGTTATCCCACTTTCTAGTGGTCCTCAGCATACCAATTTTGTCTGAGCTCATAGAACAACCACTCTTGAAAGCTTACCAAAAGAATAAAAAGAACAAGCAGAATGTTATACTCCTTTTGCCAGTTCTTTGCAGTAAGAGGTTTTAAACCTCGACACAAAAAGAAGAAAAACAAAAAGGTCCTCCTTTTAAGCTACTTAATATCCTCTCCAACTCAGAGCTCCAACCATTAAGGCTGATGCTCAATAGCCATTGATGGACCAGAAGTAAACAATGCACCCAGTAGCAATGTTCTTCTGGTTAAATTTCCCATACTGATGGCCGAAGCAGATAGATAAGCCTCAGCTGACTTGAGCAACTAAAAAACAAAATGCACAGAATAGTTTCCTAATTCCTTTCTTTGGCTACTGGACCACAAAAGAGAACTCAACTTCCTCAGTTATCTTCGCTTCAAATGCATAATCAAACTCTTCACACGCAACTTCAAAATCTGAACTCCCCGAGAGTGTCCTCTCTGCTATTAAATGAGCAAAAAGTTGGCAACTTGGCGCCATCGATCATTCCAAAACAGCAACATGGCAGGGACAAGCAGATGACACGAGTAATTTGCTGACATACCTGATACAGAGCCACCAATTCAGGAATCTGAAACCTGAACGAAGCATAGAGCACCTGCACCAGAAACTCCAAGGCCGGCCTACAAGCCACGTGCGAGCACTCGTCGTCCACGCAGTCGCAAACCCCTCTCGGGAGCGCCTTCACCTTCCCGCTGTACAAATACCCCAACACCACCAGCAGCGCCTCGGTCCCGACCCCGAAATCCCCGACTAGCTCCTCCAATTCGAGCCTCGCCCCGCTCTCGCTCCCCGCGAACGCGGCCCCGAAGAACGGGCTCCGCGCGGTGAGGATGCACCGGTGGACGGGGACCTCGCGGCCGTCCCCGGCGACGATCGCGGCGTCGGAGAAGGACGAGCCGGCGCCGGCGCGCGGGCGCTCGAAGATCGACTCGAGGCTGTCGGAGAGCCTCCTCAGGGCTTCCGTCTCCGGCGGCGTCGCGTACGAAGAGGGAGTCTCCGTGCCGGTCGGCGCGGAGCACACGCCGCTGCTGTAGCTGGTTTCGTTCGAACCGGAGAACGTAGCCCGCCCAGAGTCCACCATCATGATGCCGCCACCCCCCCAGCAAACGCCGCAACGGAGCCAAAGCGCTTCGAACGCGAGGACGATGAAGCGTTCCCAAGAAGAACCCAAGTGGGAGTCGACACTCGAGAGCCCCTCACGCGAGGAGAGAGAGAGAGAGAGTTGCTGGACTGTAGAGAGAGAAGGAGGGAGCTAAGACGCCATTGTTTCCGGGGAGAGAGAGAGAGAAGGAGAGTCAACAGGGCGGTGGGGGAGGAGAACCGAAGGAAGAAAGTAGTAGCAGGCAGAAAGAAGATGGCCGCGACAATGATTTCTCCTCGGATCTTTTTTTGTCCGTACACGTGCGGCCGAGTTTCCTGCCTTCTTGGGGGAGGTGGTCCGTACGCCGGGACCCGGATCGGGGCTTTCCGGGGCCCCGAGTGCGGGAGGGACAGCGCGATCCGGCTTCGAACTGTCTCGGGTCCGAAACGGGAGGACCAAGCGGTCCGTGCGCGCGCGCGCGTTCCGCTGTTTAAGGACAACCGTCGGAAACCGAAGGGCCTCTCCTTCGGGCAGCCGACTTGTCGGCGAGCGAGGGCCCGTCGGTCGCGTGGCGATCGTACGGATGGGTGGGGGCCGGTGGCGTTTTCTGGGGACCGTGGGTCCCGCGCTTTCCCAATCCAGCTTTCCTTGTCAAAGGAGGGAGCCGCCATGTCCATTCGGCAGCCCCATTTAATAAGAAGACCCCGATCCCAAATTCACCGTACAGCGTATATGTACAGTTTGTGTGTGTATATATATAAACTAACTAGGGTTGTGCTGACTAGACTTGTGCAACCAGTTCGATTCTAATCTGGTCTAGTTTCCGTGGAAACTAGTTCGATTCTTGATTCCACATATTCGGAACCACTCGGCTGTTCTCGGTTCTAGGTTAAGAACCACCCAGGATGCGGATCGAATCAAGAATCGATTCGAGCAAACCCTGACTTCTTCTTTCTCCAATTGTTCCTGATGCTGCTTATTCATTCTCTATCTCTTTTACAAGTTATACTATATACCTTGTGTTGGAGAGAATATTTGAATATTCAAGAGTTAAAAAACGAAAAAAAAAAAAAAAATAGGTGCCTGGTAGAACCTAAAATCGGACCGAAAAAATAAGATAAGTTGTAGGATTTATAGGGTAGGTTCCAGATTCAAAAAGTTACGAACCGATTTTAACGGGACAGGTTTTGATAGGGCAGGTTTCAAGTTTCGAGTGTGGAACGTGCCCACTCTGAAACGGATTACTTATACACGTGATCCTTTATTCTACTTTTATTGGCAATATTCGGCCAACAAACATTGGCCAATCGATTTGTCATCTCTCAATTTCAATAGACATACATGTAAAGATTATTGATAGTTAAAAAGAAGAGGAATAAATATAAGTAAAAAATATGTTTAATGACATAAGCCTGCGCGAATGCGAGTCATGTAATTAGTTAATGGCAATTCGGGTCAAATGCATTGATAATTTAGCGTGAACACATGACTAATTTTCAAGAAAAGCAGGCTTATCATGCATTCGATGGGTCAAGAATCGAGTACTCGACATGTTAAATAGTAAAAAAAAATTAAAACGATGGAATAAAAATGACATAGAGATTATGTGAATAAGAAAATCCGTTTCCTCAAAATTAAACTAAATGTCCATATAACCAAATTTTGAGTTTAAATTTTCATGCAACCTTTTTCACTATTCAATTCGACAGAGTATTTCCTTGATATTATCTACACTCAATAGACAAACAGTCGCAAATACCATACATGCAAATATTATCGACAGCTTGAAAACGAGAATAAATATACGTAATAATATGTTTAATAATGTTAGCCCAAGCAAATGTGAGCCATATAAATAGTTAAAGTTGATATCACGAAAGACTCTAAATTGGTACACTTGTGACAAATTTACCTCAAACTAATTTTTTGACCATTAAAACCCCTAAACTAGTACATTTGTGATAAATTTACCCTACATTAAATTGAACTAATACCATGAAAAATAGGTACACCTGTGACAAATGCAGGGTAAAACCCCAAGCCGGTACACTCATCAATTGTCACGTTTGGGATAAAATTATCATAGGTATATCAGTTTGGATTTTTCATAGTATTAACATAAATAGTTATTGGCAATTCGGGTCAAACGCATCGATTATTTAGCGTGAACACGTGACTAATTTTCAAGAAAAGTCGGGTTAATCATGCATTTGATGGGGCCGGGAATCGAGTACTTCACGTGTTCAAATCCCAAAATGCCGATTGATTTCACAAGCATTATCCTAGCAAAGCATCCACATACAAAAGTGAGAACATAACTAATCCAACCCGGCGAAAGCATTCACACATAAAAAGCTTCAACATCGATGGATCACAGCTAATCAAGCTTAGTCAATAAAGCGAAGTAGACGCATAATCTTTCGTCACCAGAAAATCAAACTCGATCAAGCATTCACACGTAAAATTTGAACAGGAGTAATGGGGCGAAGAGTATTAGAATATGTCTCGAATTTAAATCCGTAAACGAATTATATAAGATATTTCTTATTTAAGATGCTCGGTTTTTATCCGGAGGACATCCGCATTTGTAAATTGGGTTAATATCACGAAAAATACCAAACTGGTACACCGGTGACAATTTTACCTCAAACTAATTTTTTGACCACCAAAAACTCCAAACTGGTATACCCGTGACAAATTTACCCAAAACTAATTTTTTTATTATAAAAAATCCATAATTGGTACACTTATGACAAATTTACCATCCGTTAAATTGGATCAATACCACGAAAAATTACAAATTGGTCCAAACTGATATACTCGCCGCCAACTGCCACGTGTCATCAAACTTAGCAATTTGACCGTAAATTTTAACAGAAACAAACGGAGGATAAATTTGTAATAGGTTTACCAGTTTTGGGTTTTTTGTAGTCAAAAAATTAATTTGGAGTAAAATTATCACGTATATATCAGTTTTGGATTTTTGGTGGTATTAACCTTTCTAAATGTAAAGAAAGTCCATATTGGACTTAATTTCGCAACAAAGCTAGGAATACTTTTTCTCGTTGGATTTAGAATCCAACGTCCGAGCACAAGCTTTTTATAATTTGGTCGGAGATATATATTATTTATATCCAATCACGGGTTTTGGTCCTTAGGCCGCCGATGGTGAGCGGTATGCCTTGCGCGTGCAAATAGCCGGCCGTGAATTCAAGGTGGTGACTTCTTTGTGAATTTGCACCCAAAATTCAAAGCGAATGAATTCTGTGGCGACATTATCTTGTGATGAATCGTGGGAGCTCAATACCACGTAGGTCATTAATATTAGGAGACCGGGAGACGTTGAGAGAGTTCGAGCGACTCGCATGCGACCGACGGCCATGTAATTTCCATTTAATTGCTCGATTGATAGTGGCATCAACCAAACCGTGTCAATTACTTATCCAGCCAGTTATATTTCAACTCATTTATCACGCACGAAAATCGGGAGGGTTTTTTAGCATTTTCTCCATAAGCAACATAGCCAAAAGTTGTCCACATCGATTAAGGAATTGATATTTGTTTTATGCATTAGCCAATCAAAACACTTAGAATTCTTACATATAAAGATTACTGACAGTTGAAAATACATATAAAGATTATTGACAGTTGAAAAAAGAGGAATAAATATAAGTAAAAAACGTGTTTAACGACATAAGCCCGCGCAAATGCGAGTCATGTAATTAGTTATTGGCGATTCGGGTCACATGCATTGATAATTTAGCGTGAACGCATGATTAATTTTCTAGAAAAGTCGAGTTGTCATGCATTCGATGGGGTCGAGAATCGAGTGCTCGACATGTTAAATAGTAAAAAAGAAATTAAGTAAATAGTGAAAAAAAAATTAAAACGATGGAATGAAAATGACATTAAAGATTATGTGAATAAGAAAACCCATTTCCTCAAAATCAAACTAAATGTCCATCTAACCAAATTTCGAGTTTAAATTTTCATGCAACCTTTTTCACTGGTCAACTCCACAAATTATTTCCTTGATATTATCTACACTCAATAGACAAACAGTCGCAAATAACATACATGCAAAAATTATCGATAACTTGAAAACGAGAATAAATATAACGCGAGCCATATGATTAGTTATTGGCAATTCAGGTCAAATGCATCGATAAATTAGCATGAACGCATGATTAATTTTCAAGAAAAGTCGGGTTATCGTGCATTCGATGGGGCTGGGAATCGAGTACTCCACTTGTTCAAATCCCAAAATGCCGATTGATTTCACAAGCATTATCCTAGCCAAGCATCCACGTGCAAAAGTGAGAACATAACTAATCCAACTCAGCAAAGCATTTAACCACTGGGGGTTTACCCCAGTGGCCACCCTTCTCACTTGAGAAGGGGGAGGTGGGGAGTTCGAATCCCCACCTTCGTAGGGGGTGGGGTCACGTAGTTTAAGATGTGGGTTTCGCCCACGCCGCAGAGGTGGGCGCGTAGTCTAAGTGTGTATCGTGGTGAGAGATAGAGAGGACCGACAAAAAAAAAAAAAAAAACTCAGCAAAGCATTCACACTTAAAAAGCTTCAACATCGATTGATCAAAACCAATCAAGCTCAGTCAATAAAGCAAAGTAGACGCATAATCTCTCATCACCAGAAAATCAAACTCAGTCAAGCATTCACACGTAAAATTTAAACAGGAGTAATGGGCCGAAGGGTATTAGAATATGTTTCGAATTTAAACCCGTAAACGAATTACATAAGATATTTCCTATTTAAGATGCCCGACCTTTATCCGGAGGACATTCGGATTTGTAAATTAGGTTAATATCACGAAAAATCCCAAATTGATATACCAGTGACAATTTTACCCAAAATTAATTTTTTGACCACCAAAAGCTCCAAACTGGTATACCTGTAACAAATTTACCCCAAACTAATTTTTTTACCACAAAAACTTACAACCAGTAGACTTGTGACAAATTTACTCTTCGTTAAATTGGATCAATACCACGAAAAATCACAAATTGGTCTAAACTGGTATACCTGTCAACTGCCACGTGTTATCAAACTTAGCAATTTGACCGTAAATTTTAACGGAAACTAACGGAGGGTAAATTTATAACAGGTTTACCAGTTTAGAATTTTTTATGGTCAAAAAATTAATTTTGAGTAAAATTGTCACATGTATATCAATTTTGAGTTTTTGGTGGTATTTAACCTTTCTAAATTTAAAGAAAGTCCAGATTGGACTTAATTTCGCAACAAGGCGCGAATTCAAGGTGGTGACTTCTTCGTGAATTTGCACTTAAGATTCAAGGCGAATAAATTCTATTGCGACATTATTCTTGCGATGAATCGTGGGAACTATATACCGCACGAGTTATTAATATTGGGAGCCTAGGAGACGTCGAGAGAGCTTGAGTGGCTCGCATGCGGCCGACGGCCATGCCATTCCCATTGTATCCCTCGATGAATAAGCGCATCGGCCGAGCCACGTCAACCACTTATCCGTCCTTATCCAGCCGGTTATATTTCAACTCATTTATCACGCACGAAAATTGGGATGATTTCTTAGCATTTTCTCCATAAGCAAACATAGCCAAAAGTTGTCCACAACGATTAAGGAATTGAGATTTGTTTTATGCATTAGCCAATCAAAATGCTTAGAATTCTTACAAAATTGCACAACTTGAGAAGATAATTGTGGGTTTATTAAAAGTATATTTGCTTTCCAAAAGCCCTAACACCGACACAAATTTCGCCTCTTATTGCCCTCGCTCGCACCATCTCCTTCCCAATCGCGCCCCCCGTCCGGATTGCCGAATCGCAGTGCGGATCGGGAAGCCGCGAAGGATTCGCCATCCCCTCCCCATAGCCGGAGAGCTCCGTCGGCGGCGAGCCCTCGCGCGGGTCCCGTTCGTCCGCAGGCGACCCGGGACGGCGGCGGAGGGAGGAGGACGGAAGTCGTCGGCCGCAGCATCGGTCGCGAGACCTTCTGCCCTCGCGACTTCGGCATCGTTGACTCGGTGATTGATTCGGAGAAGAATTGGTTTTTGGGTTTAAGCAGTTCTCCGTCCGCTGCTGCGTCTTCGGGGCATTGGATTGCGCATCGCTCCACGTGTTTGACGGATTGCCTGAGCGTCGGAGCGTCGTTTTTTAGCTCGGTTAGTGGGCTAAAGGTTAGGGCTTTGCTGCCGTGTGTGGTGTTCTTGTGGCTGTGAGCCATGTGGGTTTCTCATTTTGTGGTTTCTCCTGCTCAAGGCCTTGCTTTTTTTTTTTTCCGGTTCATGTCAATTGGATGTGTTTCTTTTAACGAATCTAGGTCATTTTGATTTTTGTGGACTTTCTCTATGGATAATGTCTGACTGGGCAGTGGGTAATGTCTGGTCGCGATGTTCAATCCTGAGTTGCACTTGTATTTTGGCGTGGTAATTAGCTTGCAATTCCTGTTATTGAGTGACATTGTCCGTAGACGATGCTCTCCTGCTTCCACTCTCTTGTTGCTGTCTTTTGGTGTCGTAGTTGGTTTCCAGTGGGCTGCTTAACGTTTCTTTTTGTGTGCGAATTGGGTTCTCAGGTGGAGGTTCTGCCTCCCTTTAAGCACTTTCTTAGACATGCTTGACATCGTTGCTTTAAAGGTTCACTTTTCAACTTACCTTGTCACTGCTGTGCTCAATTTACCTGATTTGCTCGTTCTGGCTTGTCTGGTTACAGGACCGAAGTCTCAGATAAGTCACTTGTGCCATCCCACGGACATTCTCTTCGTTTGACTGAATAATAGATGAATTAGATTTTGGAGATTCTTTTTCCATGGACTCGCCAGATATAAGCCAGAGCTATGGCAGAAAAGATAGGGAAGATGATATCGATAGGAAAAGTGACAGGGCCGGGGATGATGCTGAATGGGAAGGAAGTGACAGGAGGAAGCAACGGTCAAGCAAGTCCAGAAAACCTGGCAGTGGAGATGATGTTGACGGTTTTGATAGCAGTGGACGGAGGAGAAATTCTGGAGATAAGTATGAAAGCCGAAAGAGATCAACTGGTTCCAGCAGAGCTGAGAGCGATGAAGATGACTTTGACACTAGAAAAGAGTCGCGCTCAAAGCAGTTGAAGAGAAAGCAAGAGGAAAGTTCTTTGGAAAAGTTGAGTTCTTTTTATCAGGATGGAGAAGTAGAAAATAGGCAAGATGGTGGAGACAAGCTGGGGAGTAAACATGTTAGGGGAGATGACAGTGACAGAAGAAAACTGACCCCAAAGTCATCTGATCATGAAAGTTCCCAGGGGAAAAGTAGAAGCAAACATGATAGGTCTCATGAGGGGGAGACATCTGATAAAGATTTAAAGTACTCAGAAAGGAAAGAAAGCAGCCGTGAGAAGGGCCATGGGTCTATCGAGCATATAAAGAGCTCAAAGAAAAGGTGGGATGATGTGGATGTTAAAGAAATTACCAGCGAAAAAAATGATGGCAGAAGTAGCAGGACATCTGACAACAAGTTTGAGAGTGTCAGGGACAAAAGTATGTCAGCTAGGCATGAATTTGGTGAGAGTAAGGGTAGGGTCACAGATTCAATAGTTGACAAAGGTACGAGATCTGACCGAAAGGATGAACGGAGACATGATGGTAAGAGTAGAAGCATGTCGGAAGCCGTAGAAGAGGATAATAAGGCAAGTCCGGCTAATTATGAGGATAGAACAGGCAAGGAGAAAAATGAAAAACACAGACAGCAGAGGACTCCTACAAGTAGGGATATTACCGAAAGCCGGGATGGGTCTCGCCATGCAGATGAAGATGGAAGCTTTTGGTCAAGAGAGAGAAGTGCAAGAGGCCACCGTTCCAGGACCCCTGATAGAAGTAGCAGATATGCTCGTGAGAGGCCTGATAATGAAAGGCCTCATGGTCGGTCTGGTAATAGGAAAGATGGAAGTAGAGGTGAAGCCGTGAAAACTTCTTCGAATTATGGGATTTCGAATGATAATTATGATGTTATAGAGATCCAGACCAGACCTATTGATTATGCAAGTGCTGATGCTGGATCTAGTTTTGCTAGAAGATTTGAAGTTGTTCAGCAATCTGACATGAAAGGGCCTTCAAATGAGGAAGAATGGGGGCATGCACGGGAAGAAAGGGCAAGGTCTAGTATTTATGGGTCTGCTCCATCTGCTGAAGATACAAAAGAAAGATATGTTGAGGATGATTTATCAACGAGAGATCAGAATATTTGGAGAGATGATACTGACTTCCAGGGAGGGAAAGGAAGAGGACAGAAGGGCGCTATTCCTGCCCGTACTCCTGGTGGCCAGGCGTCTAGCAGTGGTTCACAACCCCCATTTGCTAACCAGGAGTCTGGATCCTTTAGTAGAGGCCCTAATCAAGGGGCAAAAGGCAATAGACCGGGCAGGGTTGGACGTGGTAGGCCAACCGGAAGAGAAAATCAACCAGTGGCAATCCCAATACCTATGATTGGAGCATCTTTTGGACCACTTGGGATGCCGCCTCCTGGGCCTATGACTCCTGGTATGTCACCTGCCCCAGGTCCGCCTATTTCTCCTGGTGTCTTTATTCCACCATTTTCTCCTCCTCTACTTTGGCCTGGTCGAGGAGTTGATGTGAATATGTTAGGGGTTCCAGCTGGCCTCTCTCCTGTTCCTCAGGTCCCATCAGGCCCTAGGTTTCCTCCCAATATGGGGACACCTCCCAATCCTGCAATGTACTATAATCAATCAGGGCCTGGAAGAGGAGGGCCTGCCAACATACCTGGCCCTGGTTTTAATGTTTCAGGACCAATGGGACGAGGAACGCCACCTGATAAAGCTTCAGGGGGTTGGGTTCCTCCTAGATCAGGTGGACCTTCACATAAAGCTCCTTCAAGAGGGGAGCAAAATGATTACTCTCAGAATTTTGTTGACACTGGAATGCGACCGCAGAATTTTATCCGGGAGCTTGAGCTCACCAATGTTGTGGAGGATTATCCCAAGCTTAGGGAACTTATACAGAAGAAGGATGAGATTGTGGCGAAAGCCGCTTCTCCTCCCATGTATTACAAGTGTGATCTCCGTGAATTCGAGCTTACTCCTGAGTTCTTTGGAACTAAGTTCGATGTCATTCTTGTGGATCCTCCTTGGGAAGAATATGTTCATCGTGCTCCTGGTGTTGCTGATCATACCGAATACTGGACATTTGAGGAAATACTTAATTTGAAGATTGAGGTACTTGGACCAGCGCTTGTTTATAAGAATTGAACTTATCAATTTTCTTCCAGGGTTGTTGATGGCTTATAGTTTTTGGATTAGACAATAGTAGGTGTTAGTGTTTACTTTAAGAAAGGACCCAAAACCTGAGGTATGGAAGATATTGCAATGTCACTTCTACTTTCATGCATAAATATAGTTTTGGCTGAGACGAGGAAAAAGAAAATGTTTGCAATTGGGAATATCCGGTTGAATTGTATATCCAATTTCTTTGAGTATATAATGAAACATCCCAAACCATGTTTGAGAATATTCGGTTCTATTTTTTGACTCGTTGAAATGAATTTTCTTTTCATGTTTGTAGGCAATTGCGGATACCCCATCATTTATTTTCCTTTGGGTGGGGGATGGAGTGGGTCTGGAACAAGGCCGTCAATGTTTGAAGAAGGTATGGATCAAGCCTTTCTAGCTAGATTTTTAGAAGGACATGACGCTTCCTTTTAGTTGGTTATTAAATTGGTAGGTTTAGGTTTTGGCGCTGGATGGTTAATTTGCTTTGTTGTTTGGTACAGTGGGGATTTCGGAGGTGTGAGGATATCTGTTGGGTCAAGACGAATAAATCTAATGCAACTCCGGGCTTACGACATGATTCTCACACATTGTTTCAGCACTCCAAAGTGGGTTTCCTTCTTAAAGTCTTTTCTTAGTCTGCCACTTTATCATAGTTTTGCTTACCTGTCAATTTCTACTGTGTGCCACGAATGTCTTCATCTGCTAATGTGCTATTGCTTGTCATGGTGATGAAGGAACATTGCCTGATGGGCATTAAAGGAACAGTTCGCCGCAGTACTGACGGTCACATAATTCATGCAAACATTGATACCGATGTAATAATTGCTGAGGAACCCCCTTATGGTCAGTAATTCGTACTGGGAACTTGCTGTTTATATCTATTCCTAGGATACTCAGTGAAATACGAATGTTGAACTCATTAGTGGCTGGTTCTAGTCAGAGTCACTGATGATCCTTCCACTAGTTAGTGATGTCTCTGGTTGCATTTTCTCTCGTTTTTTCTCCCTTTTGTGCGTAAGAAGTATTTTGATGAAGGAAAGCCAAAGTTTCAACATTAAAGAATGAGGGGTTTCCTCGATCAATTTGGACTTTTGTGACAAACGGTACCATTCTGCCAAAGCACAATTGAACAACTATTTTTGGTATCACCTAGTGCACACCCTTTTAAAGATAAAACAGAAAATCGAAGAGTAGATGCAAAGTTGCATTGAAGTGTTAGCAAACTGATTACCTGCCTCCCTAATGTAGCATCAGTCTACCAAACCCTCCAGAAGCATACCACTTAGGAAAACATCTTACTTTCTGTATACATTTCTGTGGAAGTCATAAATGGACTCTCTAATCAAAGCTTTGCAATGGGTCTTTGAGCGACTGATCTTCCTTGTCTTAGCAGTTCCTTTACTGGCACTTGTGTGGCGACATCAATCCCTGTCATTTCAGGGTGTTCTGATGTATGTATGTTTCATAAATTAATGGAAATGCAGGTTCAACCCAGAAGCCTGAAGATATGTATCGCATAATCGAGCACTTTGCTCTTGGCCGCAGAAGGCTGGAACTGTTTGGTGAAGACCATAATATTCGAACTGGTTGGTTGACGGTGGGCAAGGAACTATCCTCTTCAAACTTTAATGCTGAGGTACAGTATTTGGTTTGCCAATTACGTGTTACAAATGTTGCCATCTTCTTTGAAGAAACTTGCCAGTTTGTCATCAGCTTCTTGATCTGCCTAGTAAGCCTGGCCTTGGTCTAACAGAATAATAGTGCTACTGAACTACTATAAAAATTTGCTCAGTGTAGAAGGAAATTAGGCTAGAGTTTGATGGACTCCCTTGCTGTGGACAAGAAGGGAACAATAAACTCGATGATATTTGAAATTGACTGCAAAATAGTAGTTAAAGACTATTAGCATGTTTGTCTGAACAATTTTTTTTTTGTCTAAGTTGGTGCTTGTTCCTTCTTTTGATAAATAACATGACATTGCAACCGGATCTTAGAGTGTGCTCTCATGCCGCTTAAGACGTCTCCTGGACCATAATTACCAGGCTTTATGCTGTGTTGGTCATGATCCCTTCAGTTTTCTGTTGTATATTTTAACTTTTCTGCTGAAAGTAGCTCGGAATCCCAATGCTTTTCTAGTTCTTTTTGGCCAGTGTACCAGTCATACTTGTATGTGCATTCGCTTTCTGCTGGTCCGTGAATTTCTTTCCTTTTCTCTTTTGCTTTTCCCTTCAGAATGGTATTCAACCTCACAAACAAATCTGCAATTTTACCAAACATTATACAAACCCAGTCAATGCACACCTCTCACTGCCCACCTCATTAAAATGAACCCAGAAAGCCTCCTGTGTCCCCCATCTAAATCCTTGCCATGATATAGAGCCTAAAACCCATGAATTTTGTAACCAAAAGTTCTACAGGCATATTAGAATCTTTTGTACTTTTGTTAGCTTTATTCTTCAAGTGACGATTGGAAATTGGATGTTGGTACTTTTCAGGCATACATTAAGAACTTTGCAGACAAGGACGGAAAGGTATGGCAAGGCGGGGGAGGGCGAAATCCACCCCCAGATGCTCCTCATCTTGTGGTGACCACTCCCGAGATAGAGTCTCTCCGACCCAAATCTCCGATGAAGAATCAACAGCAGATGCAGCAAAACCAATCGGTCTCCATTGCTCTCACCGCGAGTTCGTCCAACCGAAGACCTGCGGCAAATCCGCCTGAAACCCCCGCAGCTCTCAGCATGAACCAAGAAGTCTCGAGCTCCAACGTCCCGGCCTCTCTTCCTTGGCCTTCCCCGATGGAGGGCTTCAAGGGACCCGAAGGCGGGAATGCTCCCATGGAGGAGAAGGTTTTCGATATGTACGGTTTTGGCGGGCAGCCGAACGGAGAGTTCCTAGATTTCGAATCTCAGAGAGCTATGAATATGTTGTAACCAGAAGGTTCTTTTGCGTGATTTGGCGTACGATAAGATACAATTGATTCTTTTCCCCTTCTATGGTGCTCCAAATTGAGAGGAAAAAGAATAGCTCCTTTGCCCTTTTCGGAGGAGGGGGTTTCGATTTAGACAAGCAACGCTCGATCCTATAATCTTCCCGATATCGCGACGTCGCCATGGCGCTCGTTTTTGTCGCGATAGTCTCAATCGTATCGACAGCTACATAGAAACCCTCAGAAGGTTCCCTGAGCCTCTCGACTCTCGAGATGTTAGCTGCTTCCTGGGGCGTACAATGTGCGAACGATTCAGCGGCTGATCTGATTTTGACGTGTTCTCCCCTGTCAACGGTTTGACGCAGCGGGAAAATATTAAAAGTTGGATAAATCCCCTCCTCCTCTTTAAGATAAAAATAGCGCGGCCAAAAACAGAAGGAAAATGAAGAAGGAAAAAAAAAAGGGGGGAAGAAAAAAATGGTCCCATGAAAAGAATCCGAACGCCGCGCTCCTTTTCATGCAAAGCGAAAAAGCGGAAAGTTAAAAATAAAGAAAAACGGGAATTAATAAAAATAAGGCGAAATGAATAAAATAAATAAAATAAAAATAAAAAGAAGATGGATAGATAGGGAGAGAGAGAGAAATAAAAAGGTGAAAAATCAAAAAAAGAGAGGGGGGGGCCGACACGGGAGGCCACCGGGCAACAACATCGTTCGCTGTCCCCTCCCCTCAAGTCGTCTCCTTCCTCCCTTCCTTCCTTCCTTCCTTTCGATTTTCGGGATCAGAAACTTTTTTGCGCAATGCGAGCGCGGGCGAGCGGCGCCCTCCGACGAGCGGAGACGGGAGCGACGGCGAGATGATCGGCGGTGGCGGTGGCGCCGCTTTCTAGCTTCGTTCGTTTGATTCCCGCGCGGTTTTCCAGATTCCTTTTTTTCTTGTTCCCCCGATCGATTCGTGGCCTCGAGGGAGCCCAGGAAACCCTAGATCTCTTCGAGCTCTCTCTCTCTCTCTCGAGCCCTTCGGTTCTCTTCTTCTTCTTCGAGGTCTACGTGCCCCAGCGAGCGGTCGCGGGTCGGCGCCGGTTAGGGCGGAGCTTCTTCGGGCTGCTCTCCCCCCGGCGTGATTTCCGGCGGGGTCGGAGTTAGGGCTTTTTGAATCGGCGATGGAGCCTCGCGTGGGGAACAAGTTCCGGCTCGGCAGGAAGATCGGCGGCGGCTCCTTCGGGGAGATCTACCTCGGTCCGTCGTTGACTTGATTTGCTGATCGCCCCTTTTTCTCGTTTTTCTCTACTTTTTTTTGAAATTGTTGGCTGTATTATGGTTGATGTTGTTCGGGTGGTTGTGCAGGTACTAATATACAGACAAATGAGGAGGTCGCCATTAAGCTTGTGAGTGTGGCCCTTTAGTCTTCTTCGTGCTTGTTCTGTTGAATTTGTTTGGGAGAACTACGGCATAGTTTGATTGATTTACCTGTTTGTGTTCTGAGATGTGTGGTTTTAAGAACTGTGTGTGCTTGCTGATTACTTAGAATGCATCAGAGCATGTTGTTATGACTATTTGTAATCATAAACAAGTTTTGGAGGAGGAAATATTTCTCTTGGATCTAACTTTTATGGATGGGGAAGGTAGTGCTTCTTGTTTCTACTCTGGTGGAGCTCGAATTTGCATTTGTGCTCTCTCTCTCTCTCTCTCTCTCTCTCTGGTACGCACGCTCTATAGAGTGATTAGTATAATGGGTTACCCCACTCTGCTGATTTTTTCAGGAGAACATCAAAACAAAGCATCCTCAATTGCTATATGAATCAAAGTTGTATCGGATTCTGCAAGGAGGAAGTAATGTTCCGTCCCCACGGCTATGAAATTCAAACTTGTGCCGTCAATGCTATTACCGTAACTACTCATTCTCTGTCTCTGCAGCTGGGATTCCGAATGTAAGATGGTTTGGTGTCGAGGGAGAATACAATGTACTTGTGATGGATTTGCTTGGACCCAGTCTTGAAGATCTATTTAACTTCTGTAGTAGGAAACTTTCCTTGAAGACGGTTTTGATGCTTGCAGATCAAATGGTTTGATTCGTCACTTGCAATGTCTCTGTGGTAATGATTAGAGTGTCTTTAATCCGTGCTGATGCTTATGTTTTTGTTAGATTAATCGTGTTGAGTTTGTTCACTCGAAGTCATTTTTGCACCGAGATATCAAGCCTGATAATTTTGTGATGGGCTTGGGGAGACGTGCCAATCAGGTTTGTGCTTTTGACATATTGGTTTGACTTTGCGATTCCTTTTCGGATCTAGTAAGATGTAAGGTGGTTTCTTTTTGTACCTGTCTTCAGGTGTACATTATTGACTTTGGTCTCGCCAAGAAATACAGAGATAGCTCAACTCATCAACACATTCCTTACAGGTGAGTTAAGCTTTCCAAATTACTCTCTTTATTGTAGGTTACTTACATGCGTATAGTATTTGTACTTTTCTTTTTGCGATGATTGATTTTTCTATCGACCATGTTCACCATGTTGTATTTTTTATGCCATTGGCATTATGTTTCGGAATGATTACCTAAATGAAGGTCGTGCTTTATTCCTAAATCGAGTTTACGAAGACAATGTAATTGCAGTCATGTGGAAGTTAACCCTGTATTGTTGAGGCGGTAATAGAAGATTGCGTTTTTTTATCTTTTTTGAACTTAGAAAATTTGTTAGAAAATAAAAATCTGTTCTTGTACACGAGGAATATACAATAACAATGAACAAAAATAACAGAAAAACAATGACAATCTTGTTACACTGCCCTAACTTTATGAGGGCGTAGAGTGTAGCGCATCAAATATGTTTAAACTTGAAATTGAGTTGCTGTTGCTATTTTGTTTTTTATGTCGTGTGTGATGTCAATTATGGTCTTCTCCAACTTTCTCTGCCCTTCAGCTAACTAGCGGAGGCTACAGTAGCAGTTATTACGTTTCAGAGGAGCCATTGAAGGCCGTATGGACTATGGAGTCTGTAGCTATTGTTGTCACCTCAAACAAATTAACTGTTATATTTTCTCTCAATAGAAGTTTTTGACGTGCTGATGTTTGTCTTGACAATGTCTACCGTTCGAGTCTTTGGTTATCATGGTGAGCGGTTGCTCATTGTGTGGGTTGATTAAACATTCAGGGAAAACAAGAATTTGACTGGAACTGCAAGATATGCAAGCATGAACACTCATCTTGGCATTGGTACGGTGACTTCCTCCTTATCTGGAGTAGTGAGCTTTTTGTTTTTTTTCTTTTCCTTGCATTGCTGATTTTCCTTTTTCTGCACTTGTGGTCATTATAGAGCAAAGTCGGAGGGATGATCTAGAGTCTCTTGGTTATGTTCTTATGTATTTTCTAAGAGGAAGGTAACTGTCGCTGTCTACCTTTAGTTGTTGATAAGGTGATAGGTTATAGTTTGTTTCTAATTAGAACTACTTCTTTCTTTGCAGTCTCCCTTGGCAGGGATTGAAAGCAGGAACCAAGAAACAAAAGTATGAGAAGATTAGTGAGAAAAAGGTTTCTACTTCAATTGAGGTATGTTGTCTCTTTGTGAGCTTGTTAGGTCATTTCTGGCTTTATGGACTCATGGATTCTGATGCTATACAGGCTCTGTGTCGTGGTTATCCGACAGAATTTGCATCCTATTTTCATTATTGCCGATCACTGCGATTTGATGATAAGCCAGATTATTCTTACTTAAAGAGACTATTCCGTGACCTCTTCATACGCGAAGGTTTTGTATACATTTTTACCTTTTGAATTAGCGGAGTATCTATGTATTGACTGCCTATATAGATCATTTGTTTATCGGTAAGTGAGCCACAGCGTAATTTCTGCCTTCTCATTCAACAATTTGATTGATTATCCAGGTTTCCAGTTTGATTATGTATTTGATTGGACCATACTGAAATATCAGCAGTCTCAAATGGCAACGCCCCCATCTCGAGCACTGGTTAGTGACATTTATGCTCCGTTTGGGATAGTGGAGAGAATGCAAGTTTGAGTCGAAACTTTTGAAGTTTTGTGGGAAGGAGAGGGAGGGAATATGTACGATGTGATGTATTTTCCTTCCCAAATTCTTTCCCATTGGTCTCCCAAACGCAGCATAGGTCTCTCTTTGGCTCCTTTACTTTAGCTAAAGATGATTAGTCCTTGTTTCCTCTATCAGGGTCTTGGTGCTGGACCTAGTTCCGGGATTCCTCCTGCTGCTGGCCATGTGAATAAGCAGTCAGGTAGGAAACGAATTTTGAATGTAGATAATGTCCTCATTGTCTGTGCTTGCTACCTGTTGACTTTTCCCTGGTATTCTTTCCCAATTAATATGCATTAAGATTGCAATATTCCAGGTGGAGAAGACGGTCATCCAGTCGGTTTATCGTCTATGGATCCTTCTAGAAGAAGGCTATCTGGAGCAACTGCAACTGCTGGAAGTTTCTCAAAGCAGAAGAGCCCAATAACAAATGATGGTGCAATTTCCAAGGAAGCAATGGTAATTCTTTTGTCTTACCTTGATGTTGCTCTGTGTTATGCTAAATGTAAAGTATGAAAAATATCTTTATGGTAAGGCTTCATTTGTTTTGTGGAAAATGAAGGATTTGGAACATTTTCCTGAATGATCGCTTAAATCTCTTACAAAAAATGAATGAACGAAAAATATTTTCATCGTTCATGAAAATATTTGGGCATAAATTATTGGTGATAATGAAAATATTTTCCATTGAATAATTATTTTAAGCGATACAAGCGATCATTTTTAGGAAAATGTTTTTCAAATCATTCATTTTTCGCGAAAGAAACGTAGCCTAAGTTTTGGTGATAAATAGTCCAAGGGCCTCTGGGTGTTCTATTATATTGCTTAATGACTGATAGTGCAATTTTTGAGGAAGCAGTGGTAGCTGTTTGGAATTATAGTGGAAGGATAGAATTACCGGGCAACTTATTGGAAAGGGAAAGCTATCTTCGATGTTTTGGAATGGAAGAGAAAAAGGCGCTAATTTTTTGGAGTGGAAAAACCCTTCTTGGGTCAACATACTTTGTTCTTTTCAATTTTTGGAGTGGAAGTGGAGAGAAAGATATATACTTTCATGGGCTTTGTGAATGTGTCCTTGATGGTCACTCCGAAAGGCAAAATTGTGCAGGATTATTAGTAAATTAGTGTCATTTTCCTTTCTTTTAACCCGGCAAAAGATATCATTCTTTCTTTTCCTACATTCAACTTCAATTGTGCCTTTCTTTTCTCCACTCTTTCTTACCAAACACATCTAGAAGTTAATTTATGGATAAACAGAGGTTCCTGTCTGAAGCACTGGTAATTACTCGTCTCTTGGATGAGTTGGGAATCTTAAAGTATTGGAGAGAAGTAAGCATTTTTTCGAGTATATATGTGGAGGAGCAGTTTGGGTGGGTTGGGATGAAGTTGGTGAAGTTGCTGCATTATACTAATCTTCATATGGCCCTCAGTTGAGGACGGAAATTCAACTGTGGTTTCGGTGTACTGTTGCTAGGGTGTCGAGCATTGTTAGTATCTGTCATTGTATTGTTGCTAGGGTGTCAAGCAACTATTGAATTGCTACTTACCTATGTGAGTATTTGCCATTTGAATGTATGCGGTGAAGCTGCGAAGGGGAATCCATGATTTTCAGCAGAAAGCGCTGGGACTTTTGTTGCTAGCATTATAATAATTTACATTTTAATTTAGCGAAGTATGGGAAAATGGAGATTTTGCAACGATCTTTCGGCTCAAACTTAGGCGGAGCAACTTTGGTTTTAGAACTATTCTAGTATAGTGTTTGGGTAGACTCAAGAGCGCAGAAGCAAGCTTCAAGTAGTTAAAAGCTGATCTCAAGGTCACATGGTATTTTTGCAACTTTAGCTGTTGTAACTTTTTACTAAACGGTTGATTAAGTGAGTGTTTCATGTATTTTGGTTGTTATAACTATTTTTAAAAGAACCACATCACCCCTGAATCATACATGAAACATTGATGGGGCTGTATAGATAGTTCTCCATGTTTCGTTGTTCTTATAGCTGACAATTTGTCTTTGGAATGTATAGATATCAAGTTCAACATTTTTGGGGCGTTCTGGCGGATCGTCAAGGCGGGCGGCAATTTCCAGCAGCCGCGAAGCGTTTATTGGTGCTGAGTCTGATTCCCATCGCGCTCGCACGACAGAAGCCAGTCCCGGAGCTGTCCGCAAGATTTCAAGCGGCCAAAGAAGTTCGCCAGTCGGCTCATCGGACCCTAGGCATGCATCCTCTGGAAGAAATGCGGTACACCTTAAGAACTACGAAAACGCCCTCAAGGGCATCGAGAGGCTCCACTTCGACAGTGACGAGAGGGTTCATTTTTAAAGGCCAGTTTCGTGGATCGCTGTAAATCAAGAACCCTTCCATGCAGACTTTGTGGTAGAATAGGAGGCTACTCTGTCGGGGAATCAACCAAGTTAAGCATCCGAGTCCAGGTATCTCATGGCAAGCTCCGCTGTGCTGCTATATATTTCAGGCATCTGAAATCCCGGATTCAACGAGCAGATGCATGCGAAGTGTGATGCGTCATCTTTGGAAAGTCGGATGTCCTTGGCCCCTTTTTCCTCAAAACCTTTTTAATCCTTTTTCCCCGTGACTTACTGTGACTTCCTCCGGCAGTCGGTGTCTCCGTGTGCTTCCCTCTTAAGTTCTACTTTTAGCAGTATAACACGAATATTGATTTCAAGAATTTTATTTGGCCCTGTAAATTGGCCGCTGTATTTGTTCATTGACTCATACTTCCAGTACACAAGCCCCCAAATGTTGTTGAATGTTCCTTTCGTTTCCATTTAAGCTCGATTCGAGGACCACCTCCGAATTGACATGTTTGATTATTCGTACGAACTAAGATTGTAGCAAAGATGTGCGAAATGTCATTTTGTGGAATGCACCTACGGGATGTGGATATGTCCAAAACGTTAGGTGGAAAATGTAGATCGTCGTGCCACTCAAACTTGGTGTGCTACCTTATTAGACCGTGTGTGCCGATAGTTGAGACAGTGAGCGCGGTGCGAGTGCCACTGGTAGTTTGTTTTTTATCGGAGTTTGTTTCTTCGATCTTGGAGACGGTGGTGGTGAAGTAGATTAGAATGCACTTCAGATTTAGATGATTGCGCGTAGAAAAAACCCGAGTGAAAAGACGATACGGGAGACAGATTGGACCTGTAGGCATGGGGCCAGTTTTGAACCGTCTTGCTCGGTTCTCCCGAACGTCCGAATCTTGAAAGTAGGGTAAATCGAGAAGCCGGCAAAAATCTCAGCTAGAACATTACAATGCTGAACACAGATGAAACGCCATAACCGAGACGAGATGATGTGATAATGAATCGGCGCCGAATCTCAGATTATTCGTGAATACGAAAGTCAGCTTGTTACTTCTGACTGTGGCACTAGTCATCTCTACGCTACCAAGACATCATGCTTAAAAACTGCCTTTGCTCCCCTCCTTTCATTACAAAGTCACCCGAAATTTGTGACGAATATGTACGAGTGAAAGATACAACGGGGAGCCCGAAATTGGAGCCTGGGACTGGCCAGCTCCGTTATCCGGCGAGAGGAGTTGGTGAAGTTCAATCGATTTTCCCTTTCCGGTTTATCAAGTCGTGGTAATACAAGAGCAAGCACATCGGTTGGCCGAGAATACAGAATATGAACCAGAAGACCATATTGCCCACCTGAAATATGAATTTGGGAACACGCATTCAGGACACAAGACGAGAGGTGGGGCAAAAAAGTCGACATAAGAAAGGAAAACGATGCCGTACCATCGAGTTGTTGAACTTATTTTGAAGGTAATTGGTGATCAGCACCAGAGGAACCTGTGCAAAAGAACATGATCGGTACAATCAAGTATAATATTTCCTTTATCGACTGCTACTAAGCTCAAAAGTGCTCTTAGATAGATGACTATCCGAAATCCATCCATCCCTATGTGAAAGAGACGCTGCGATGTGCGAATTTCAGTTCTCTAAAGCATGTGTTCGATAGGGGCATGCAGAAATAGAATGAGGTTGGGTCAAGCTCTAAAGCATATCTTACCTGGAACATAATGCCAATAAATGCCCAAAACTTGAATATGTGGCAAGGGACCGCGATGCACAACTGCTCGAATCAGAATAAAAAATAGAAATTCAGTATTTCTTGCTCATGTTATGAGAATATTCTAGTCACGAATTATCACCCAGCAACAGACTTAGGTTGGGGAAAATTGCCACCGAACTATGACGTTACATTTGTGTAAATCTCAAAACCCAAAATCAAAAGAGAATAGAAACACATTATTTCTCGCTTAGGTTGTAAGAGCCTTTTATCCATGAAGTATTCTAAATAAATAGAAAAACCAGATACACTATATAGTGAAATAGCTAACAAATGAGATAATAAACACTCTGATCCCAAAAGACCTACCTCATGGAAGATGGCAGACACTAAAAAGGCAATCAGAACAGCAACTCCCTGAAATTGAAGAGAACCAAACAACAAAAAGAGATTAGAGTCTGGTCAAGAAATTGCAATGTTTTTCAGAGACCCTGAAATCAAAGCAGCAGAAGAATTCCAACCCAACCAATTGAAAGGAAAGATGAGGCGGGAAATACGTGAACATACTGCCATATGCGTATGATCAACCACTTATGGCTGTAAAGCATTTTTGACAGACAAATTGCTTATCGAGAGAAACTAAGTTGATAAGAGCCTATATTGCATATACTCATTAAATTCGGACAAACAAAGACCAACAGGATAGATTGGCCACCAGATGGGTTCCGTTTTCACTGTCTTATGAGTTCATTGTAGCATTCATATTGAGAATGTGAAGAAAGCCTATTTTTTTTTTTGGCCATAGAAGAACACCTAATTAGGAGAGTGATCCCTGAACAGAGAGTATCATTCATATAAGGAATCTTGACATATAAGAGAAATAATTTTGCAGACAATTCCTGAATAACGTGATGCAGAGAAAATTTAATTGAATCTTGGAAATTGGAATCCCTGAGGGGATCAAACATGCACTAGAGCGGGCATTTAAGATTATTATTTCTACATAAAAGCCTGTTGAAGGTCATTGTTGCAGAGACTAATATATAACAGATATTTTAGAAGTACTAAGGTAAAGAAAGAATAAGGGATAATGACGTAAGCAGTCCTCAAACTTTGGCTCAATGTGCAATTTGGTCCCTGAACTTTTAATTTGTTCAATGTAGTCCCTGAACTTTAGCTTAATGTTCAATGTAGTCCATGAACTTTTAATTTGTTCAATGTGGTCCCTGAACTTTTGGTACGTGTTCAATTTAGTCCATGAACTATATGAAAATGTACAATATAGTCCCTGAACTTAATTATGGAAAGACTACATTGAACATTTTTATAAAGTTCAGGGACCACATTGAACAAATTAAAAGTTTAGGGACCACATTGAACATTGGGTTAAAGTTCATGGACTACCAGGGACCAAATTGCACATCGACTCAAAGTTCAGGGACTGTTTGTGTCATTTTCCCAAAGAATAATTCATTTTTGTCTTATATCCCAAATTAATTGAGCTTCATATGCTTCATTTTTTTATTCTAGTATGCAGCAAAAGGTCAAACCTATGTGTTATGTATTGAAGGTCAACCTACTCCACTAGGATCACTAGGTACCGTCTGGACACAACACTGAAGTAATAAACGAAGCAAACATTCTAAAGCGAATAAAGGGATCAACTACCTTTGGTATCCCATTTCTCAAGCAAGGAAAATATATGTGGCGAACCATCCATTTGTGAACGGGCTGCAACAAATGAGAAATTCAATAACTAACAACCTTCATACATCAAGTTCATAACGAAATTATATGAAAAGGCTCTATTGTGCAATGAATGAACATGTGAGCAGCATCTTCTTCCCTTCTTTTGGATGAGCATAATTTTGCAATCTAGAGCAACAAAGTTTCAGAAACAGAAAAGGGAAAAAAAATAAATTTGCACAAAAAGGTATTGGCTGAAAATGATGAGGATTATACTTTTTATAGCAGATGACCTGAAGCCAAATCTTGTTCCATGATACGGAAGTCTAGAAAAATCATATACACATTGACAGTGGGCTTCTTTCCTCTTTTCTTGCATATTTTACCACCTTGTATTAGTCACTACTTGACCACAAGTTTAAAGATGCCAAACACACTATTCTGCTATCTCATTTTGAGATGGGACAACTAGAAGATTTGTGCACCATCACATTGAAACCAGAACTTCTTCAGTTCAGTTAACAGATAAAGGTTTCTCAAGTAATGGGAAGTTTCTTTTCCCCCTATAAAACTCATGGGCAGTTTTGCATGAGATGATAATATTTTGTAAGAAATCCAAGCGAAGGCCTCATTGAACTAAAACCATGCCGCAGTAATATTATTGCAGGCGGTGATGACACATTAACGGTTTTATATTTCAAGAAAGATATACGAACCAGCCAAGGCATTATTAGAGTTAAAAACATGTTACACGAGACAAATACAAGCAGAGGAACATACCATATTCCACAGTCTCCAGTACTGATAATATCCCCGAGTTCAAGAGCATGGAAGGACCACAAATAACAAATAATTGAAATCAGCAAAGGCACCAATAAAAACCCAAGAAACCTAAATATAGAAATGTGACATTACCTCCTCCACTGTTTTTGCATTCCACCAGTCTTTATAGAATTCACGGTCACCAAAACGAAGAAGTTCTGCAAGTATATTTAACCTGGAGAAACCCTTAGATATGTCTTATGTCTTGAAATCCTTTAGTAAAAATAATCAAAGAAACAAGAAAATTCTAAACCATCGTGTATCAAGAGTGCCTTTTCTTTTGCCAGCATGTACAAAGAATTCATCCATCCTCATGAGACACAAGCTTCACATTTTTCAAACGATTTGGAGACAAACTTTTACTTCTAACTTATGGATGGATCGTGGAAACGGAAAATCATCTTTGAGGAAAGAAGATAATACCAGAGGTGGAAGAAACAGTAGAACATGCAGAGCCACACATATAGATTCGGAACTGAAAGCTTCAAAACTCTCTCAATGGCATATAAAAGGTTTCCTTTCAAAGGGTGTTGTGAGTTCTGGACTATAGGATTAATATACTGCAAAAGTTACCACCAAAAACACGTCAGATCTGCAAATATATATGGAATACTCATCAAATGATGAAGGTGCTCACCTGTTCAATGATAAACCCCATGACTCCTGTGAATATTACTAACTTGACAAGTTGGCGAGCCACCCAAGCCTTTCGAACACATGAAGTGCGAGGATAGCTGAGCTGCATAGAGGTGCATCATCATAAGTAGAGTGCTTCCAAACCTCATAATTTAAGTAAGAGTTCTACCTATGTATTTGTACCACTAAAGGAGAGAACACAACATGACTAAAACAAGAGCTCTTAAAGACAACCAAATAGCATGACAAAAAAAAAAGTGGCGAGACAATCCCGATACAAAGTTAAATGCACTTGAACTAATAATGAAATATTTGGGCTAGACCAATTAATTACAGTGAGCAGTAATATGTACACTTCTGCAATGGAAAAGCCAAACACCAACCATATTAGACAGCTAAACCTTACCAGAATGAAAGACAAGAAAATGTTATCTGGTGTGAAAATTAATGAGAAACCATGCTAACGGCCATATTTCGCTCTTAAGAAGTGCAGGGCTATGGCATCTAGAAACTCAAAAATACTTGACGCCATGCAGACAGGCCTAAGAGTTAAGATAGGTCCCAGGAGCAGAACAGAGGGCCTGCTGAAGCACCTCACCTATAAGGGAAGGATTGAGAACCAGCCAGGGACCACTCAGCGCTCACTAATCTTTCCACCCAAAAATTACTTCTCGGACTCAATTGAGAAACCATAGAGTTATTCAAATAGGGCAAACCCACCGTATGCATCAGTTAGCCAATCTGTAGTTGTCTCACATTCTAGACAAGCAATTCATGACAATATAATGCTCTACAGAGAGAGAACAAATACTCAAAAGTTCAATTACCTGGTAGCACAATGTAGGAGCAACCATGAAGTACACCAAATTCTTTAAGCTAACATTGTACGGATACTCCAAATTCAAAGAATTAGGAACAACATCACCCTGACATTAAAAAAAGCATCATCAAGGCTTTCGTGAAAGATGCACTCGTCAATCAACAGATTGACATAATAACAAAACAAGGAGAGCGCCACAGAGATAAGAGTGAAAGCTGACACAATATTATAAAGCAGCTTCTGAACATGGTAGTAGATTTTGTACGTGCAAGTTTCTATCATATATAGGTCAAGTTTATTCGCATCGATCTGTTTTACAGAAAGTAGTAGCAACTCCATATAATAATAAACTGTCACCTTCTCAACCGACTTGGCAAGAGACCGCATGTCATAGTTTGTGTGAGCATATGATACCAATTTTAGCCACACAATGCAGGCAAAAAGCATCAGTGTGACACCCGATAGAACAGCGGAATCACATCTGCACAAAGTAAAGTCAGCATAACATCAGGCTCCTCCTATTATACTAGACCTGAATATATGCTGCTAAGTTGTTGATCTATCCCGATGTTATCTTGATGAAATGATGCTAATACAAGCACTTGATTGTTGAAGCACTGAGACACTCCTACCAACAACCTTTTCTAGTAGAAAATAAAAATGACTTCTTGAGTCCTGATTAAATCACTTGAAAGTTTTTGACGTCCTTAGAGATGTCAAAAGAGATACAAGACATTAGACATGTCCAAATATATTTATAGGAAGCATCAATCTGTAAAGGTGTTTTGCTTAGTTTCAGCTGCATTAACAAAATTTAAAAAATAACAATAACAAAAGAGAGAGGGGTTCCTGCTATCCACTGAAAATTGTTATCAATTTGGAACATGGTTTCTGAAAAATCCAGTAAAAAGAAATATTAAGAAACCTAGCTCAATGTCCATACTACCTACTTGCAGACAAGAGCATGCTAGGAGGAAGTTAATATGGATGTAAAACCAACCTGAGGATCACAAGAACTGGATAAAGAAGGGAGCCTGTTGTTATAATAATGTGGAGAGAGACGATAACCTGCAAGAATAAGCTAGAGTCAAAGATGAGACAAGTGTCCCATAGATTGCTTTCCAGGATTCAGCCCCCAGAAGCAACCTGAAGTACTGTTGTGCCAAGCATCAGAAGGATAAATACTGGCTAATAAAGCTAATCTCCCAATATATATCCAACATGCGAACCTCTATGAATATGGTTTCAACTTAAAAATCGATCTAAGAATGGACAGGTGGAAACAAAAGCTTAGTAACCAACAGGCTAAAGTGACCATAGCCGTAAGAATCGGCACTGCCGCAAGTGGCCCCTTGATATAATTGCCAATACTTTATAGGACTGCTTTGAATGCAAGTACAATGACAAAGAAGTCAGATCTATTAATGGACAAGGGGCACCGCAGCCTAGCATTTCCACTTCTTCAGCATATAAATTCTAGATTTTGCATGACTCAAGAATAACTTATGCCTTTTTGAAGTCCCTACTCTTATGCTGAACAAAAGTAATGTCTGCTGAGTGATGAATGAGACGCTATTTACTGGAAAATACAAGCCCGTAGTTTTGGAACTATATGTTCACATCAAGAAAGGAGAGAATTTATCTGCTGGAGATTTGTGTCCATTCCAGAAGTTTCAACATGTTGGTTTTAAGTTGCTTCCAATCTGTATCCTAGCTAGTTTTTTTTTTTTCCTTAAAGCAGCATAGCAACTTGATCAGACAAGCAGAATATTTTCCAAACGGTGCCATCAACTTACTGGCTCTGGAAGATACTTATGTTGTGCCAACTTTTCCACGGTAAAAGCAGAAAGGGGGAAAATCGGTAGAGTAAGACTGTAGAAGAGCAGAATTAGGTGATTATCAGTACATATGAAAATCAAGGTCAAGTCATTTAAACTTTAGTAGAAAAATTGAGGCAGCCAGCATATATTACCAACACATGAGAAGCGGCCAATCTCGTAAGGATCTTGAACTAAACCAGAAACCCGATTTAATTAACCATCCATACTGCAAGAGACATTAAAAGGTAACGATCCAAAATTCTGGACCCGATAGAAAAACTTGAGGATCAAAAGAAAAGGTATAAACTCAGCACGAGCTAAAAGAACCGAACAAGTATGCATCTGCATTTTTTTAACAGAATGCAACAGCTAAAAGACAAACGGATTCAATCGATTGCACGAGTCGAACCTTCATTAGGTTCTCGATGATAAGTCTGCTGTTAACCGCAACAAGCACTACTATACAGAGGTTGAAGAGACCTGCATGGCTCTGTCATAAAACATGTAGTGGAGATCAGTCGTGCACATTCTAATTTCGGGCTATACATATAGCTAAAAGCTCTGCTGACAGCGTGACGCATCATGAGCATGTGGATTTAAAATCTCGAATAGTTTCTATATTTATGACTGGACAATTGATATAGAAACCATTACTCGTTGAAAAGAAAATCGCGCTTATGCAATCTAGCAGGTAAATTACAGCGCCGAGTCTCCAGACCCAACTGGAAATGAAAATATTTGCATATGAGCTGATTTATTAGTCAACTGCAATCAGGGATCTCCCCCTGAATCGCGGAAAGCGGGAACACGGCGAAGCTGAATGAAACAATTTCCTCGACCAAAAAAAAAAAAAAATTTAAACAAAGAATCACCGAACGGTGCAGCATTGCAAATTACAGCTCGTGGAAGAAATGGCCCATCTCGCACTCTAAAGAACTGATAGCAAGCAAGTGTCGATATGAGACACCAAAAGAACGATACTTGCAAATAGTTCTGATCAAGCAGAATCTCTCCGAGCAATAACGAAGAACTTCGAATCATACCGATCTAGCAATAACTCAGACTTCCATAGCAGCAAAACTCAACCTAAAAATTAGAGTTACAGAGAGCAGATGAATCCTACACGTAAACTAAATTCATGCGCAAAGCCACTTCCGACGCTCCTGCACGGGCATTCATTCACGACGTAAAAGCAAAAGCATATCTGCGCAGTCAAACCCAATCCAAGTGAATTTGCTAGAGCACGAGCAAAGCTCACCTGCTTGAATATATTATCGGAGCTGAGAGGACTCTCCTTCACTGTCCGGTGAGCCGGAGCCGAGGGCCGACACGCGAACCTCGCCGCCACCGAATCCCGCCCCCGGCCGTCCCCTCCCAGGGCCTTCACGTCCGAATCCTTCCCGTTGCTCGCGGAATTCGACGACTCCGCCGGCCCGTCGGCACCGCCCGCGCCGCGATCCCTGCCGTCGTAGCAAGCCGATTTGGCCGCGGAGTCGTCGCCGCCGCCGCGCCGCGAATCCCCGGCCACGTCCTCAGCGGCGGCGTCGTCGGGCGCGCCCGCCTCCGATCCGGCACCGGAGGCCGCTCCGCCGCCGGCGCCGCAGCGCCTCCTGCGGAGGGAGAGGCCGGGATCGGCGTCGGCGCTGGGGGCGGGGGCGGCGGGGGCGATGGTCTGGACAGTGCCGACGCTCTCGCGGGCGTCCACGATGGCCATTGAAGGACAGCGCGGCTACGCAGCAGCACAAGGCGCGAGATTTACCCGTGGAGACTTCCGAGAGGTATGGCGGTGCGCTTGCTTGGCTGTGTGTTGTTGTGTTGTGCGGTGTGCGGTGGAGGGAGGGAGGGAGGGAGAGGGAGGGAGGGAGAGAGATGGAGAGCTCATGCGAAGTGGGGAAGAACGTGTGGGGGAAGGGAGGCGGCGGGTCTTGCCAATTTGGAAGGAAGGAAGGAAGGAAGGAAGAGAGAGAGAGAGCAGGAGGAGGAGGTAAACACCAAACGAAGGTGGTGGCGGTGGCGATGGCGATGGTGACGGTGGTGATGAGGGAAAGAGGTGAGGTTTTAGAGAGAGAGAGAGAGAGCGAGAGCGAGGAAGGTTCTTCCGGACCTGCCTGGTTCGTCAATGCTTGTGGGCTTGTTTTGTATCCATCGTCGCACACGCCAAGATCCAACTCCGGTCCGACCGGGGGAGGGGGAATTACTGGACGGGCGCCCCGAACATTTTTTACTGACTAATTGTTTCGAACGATACAGATGATCGTTATGAATGTAATGTTTCCTTCTTATGCCGATCGAGTGTGAGGCGTTGTGATACGAAAAAGATTGCGCGGGTGCGGTCATTGTGTCGCAGAAAGTGTGTCGGCTCGAGTATATACACGATGAATCCGATCCGAACCATTTAATGATGTACGAGAACGAGTGAGTTGAGCGTGGGGTTGGGTGCATGTCCGTTGCATGCAATGACATCTCGGGAGTGAAATTGGACCGCTGTGATTGACTTTATGTACGTAAGAACACAAAAGTTTTCGAACAGTTCGATGCTAGCAACAAAATGTTGGAAACCGAATTCGTCTATTTACCCCCCCGGATCTACCGATTCGTCATTCATTACATTTTACCTATCGAATGAAGTAGCAGTAGTTGTCGTGTTTCGGGCCGTTTCTTTCTTTTTTTAACTCTTACACGACGGAATCGGGCTTCTTTACCCGTCGAGTGATGCATCGCTTTCGCGCGCTTCCCGACGACGGGGAGGAGAACCTGCCTTCCAAGGATGACGGAATCGTTCGAAAGCGAACCGATGAAGCGTGTGACGTACCTCGAACGAGTAACGTCGGTATACTTTAAAAAGAGAAGTTTGAAAACAACCGATCAAGTCCTTGGAGAGCGACTCGAACCCTTTGACTTTAGACGCAAGTTGCCCCATTTTGTATTTCCTTAGGAGGTAGAGGTACGCCCCCCCCATTCAACCCGAAAGATCCCGACACGCCTAAGTAACCGCTCTTCTCGTGGTCGTACTCAACGAGAACTTAACGTGGACGCGGAAAAGTATCGAAAATGTCGTAAATCTATTATATTGGTATCAATTCAGTCCTAAACCTTTCAATTTGATCAATTTAATCCTACACCTTTTCACATTTGAGCCAATTTATATCATCTATCCAATTTAGGCTGGAAATAGCTGTGTGGATGTCGGCCATCCTACATGGACAATTTTCTAATTTTTTATTACTTTTTTTGTTTCTTTTTTTCTTTTCTTTCATTTCTTTTTTTTTTCCCAGTTGTGGGTAGGCGAGGGTCGGCCAATGACCATGCCAGCCACGAGCGAGGGCTGGGCGAGGGCCTCTGCCCCTCCCTCGCCCAGACCAGTCGAGGGTGTCGAGCCCCCGCTTAGATCCAAGCAAGGGCGTTACAGACCTTGTCGGCCAGCAAGCGAGGGTGTCGATCCTCACCTAGATTTGGACAAGGGCCTAGCGCCCTCGCCGGCACAAAGTATAAATTTTTTTTTAATAAAATATTAAAAATATAAAAAATTTATCTACGTCAGCGCCAGTCGTGCCACGTAGGATGGCCAGCATCCGCATCAGTAATTTCCAGCCTAAATTAGGCGGATGAACTAAATTGGTACCAATGTAAAAAAGGTTCATGACTAAATTGATCCAATTGAAATGTTTAGGACTGAATTGGTATTAATGTAATAAGTTAAAGGACTTTTTCATAACTTTTCCGCGCGTGAACCCTTCATAGGTTTGGAAACCAATAAACAAACGAAGGAAAAGAAGATAAGGGAATCACGTTGCTCCCATTGATCGCTGCATTGCCGTATGAAACACAAAATAAGTGTTAGAGGTCAAATTTTAATAGGGGTGATCGGTTTCCGGTTCGGTCTGGTTTCAAGGTGGAACCGGGATCCGGACCGAGAGAACCGGTTCTCAATTTTGGGAACCGCGGACCGAACCGGTTGGTTCTAAGACCGGGAACCGATCACTTAGAGTTTAGTTTTTTTTTTTTTTTTGGTTAAACACTTAAGGTTTGGTTACATTTTACTAATTTTTGTTAATGAATTTATGTCAATGAAGTTCACTTAGGGTTTAATTCACATTTTACTAATTTTTATCAATGAATTTATGATAATAAAGTTCATTTAGAGTTTAGTTCACATTTTATTAATTTTTTTAAAGAAAAAAATAAAAAATATATATATATATTAAATAGTCGGTCCGGTTCGGTCCCGGTTTGGGCGGCCCAAGTTGCTCACCCCTAAATTTCAAGGTGTGAACATGGGTCATCTGCTCTCCCATTCCTGGTCTTGTTCCGGATGATTGGGGAGGTTCCAAAGCTCTTTCCCTCACCCCCGTTTTGAAAGCTAACATGGGTTTTATATGTCTTTCCAGAAGCTCCTTCCAATAGGTTAGATAGATATTACATTGTCATCAAGAAAAAACAAAGAAGAAGGTTAGATTGCCCTTTTCAGAAGACAAAAATATGGATGGGAGATGTGTGTAACCTTCTTCTTCTGGTTGTCGTAAGATATGCGCACGGGTCGTGCTCTAGGAAGGACACCGATAGTTAAGGTCGAAGCAATCCTGCAATGCTCACGTGGTCGCATGGCATGAGCCCGATGTTGGGCTGATGCACGGGGACCGTGCAATAATCTGGAGAACAATAATGTCGTCCAATGTCGTGGTCGTCGATAATAATTTCAACAATTCATTAGCAGAAAATAAGGCTAGAGTCCTTCCCTTCAATGGTTAGACACTACTGTGCAATCCCTATAAACAAGAAACGAACGTGGTTTTGCCGCTCTTGACAAAAGCTGCATAGAACCATCCCCCATGATAAATCATCATCCCCACTTAGGTTGTAATCATTGATTGAACAAAGGGTGGTCCACGTTGCGAGAAGACAACACGTTTAAGGGTTGACCGGATCATGTGGGTTTTGACCCAATAACGACCAACCCTTATTAAAGGGCCTCAAACCGACCCAAGTTTAAACAAATGCAGGTGTCAAGCAGCGTGGAAGGCAGTAACTTGCAGAAACTGCTCCGCTTTAGTTTCCTTCAGTGAGAAGGAAAGAGAACAGAATATGCCCAAAACGTCATCCCTTCCTACCAGTCAAACCTGGCTGGCTGCCTCTGGACGCAACGCCATTCTCCTCAGACGATGGCTTTATGAAGTACCTAGGATGGTAAAACGTCGCATTCTGCCTCTCCTGCTAGAGTAAGATTGAATATGACACAAAAACACCGGTAAAGAGACATGGACTTAGAAGTTTCTGTGGCTCTCCTAACATGCGCCATAACATGAAGATCAGCAAAAGGTCTCTTGCTTCGTATCGTAAGACCTATATGCACGAGTATTCGTCCGATATTTTATATCGACAACAAGCTTAAACATTGAAGAAGGTAGGGGACAGAGTGATGCGGCCCAAAACCCGAGCACATACAGACCCTTTCTTCATACAAAGTACGGCAGACCAAAAACTCAAGCAACTCATATGGACACCGAAAGCATAGGCAGCATAAGTTTAGCAACTCATACGGACACCGAAAGCATAGACAGCATAAGTTTTGCCGCAAACTCAAATTAAAGACTCACTACTGCAAATGCAAGCTTACATGTCATATCACTCAAATATCAAAGTTCCAGTTTCAAAATTATGATGAAGGCTGTGCCTATAAGACAAGATAAGTTAAAACAAAAGCATAGCACAACGAGTTACTCTTTCACAAGATGGGTTCTCACGCTCCCTACCACCGAACGCAAAATCCTATTACAGGAGATCTGCAACATTTGCTGGCAGCTCCTCAATGACCACGTTGTAGAACCTCTGGATGTCAGACAGCATCCTCTCATCATCCTTCGTAACAAAGTTGATGGCCACACCTTTCCTTCCGAACCTTCCACCACGCCCTATGCGATGAAGATAGTTCTCGGGCTGTGTCGGCAGGTCATAATTAATAACAAGAGAGACTTGCTGCACGTCGATACCACGGGCCAAAAGATCTGTGGTGATTAGCACGCGGGATGATCCCGAGCGAAATTCACGCATGATGATGTCTCTGGTATTCTGGTCCATATCTCCATGGGTGGCTGATACAGTGTGGTCTCTGCTCCTCATTTTGTCCGTCAGCCAGTCAACTTTGCGCCTGGTGTTTACAAAGATGACACTTTGGGTAATAGCTAGAGTTTCATATAGATCACAAAGAGTCTCAAGCTTCCATTCCTCCTTATCGACATTGACATAGAACTGCTTGATACCTTCCAGAGTGAGCTCATCTCGCTTCACAAGAATCCTAACAGGTTTGTTCATAAACTTCCTCGTAATCTCGAGGGCTTCAGGTGGCATTGTGGCAGAGAATACACCAACCTGAATTTTTGATGGAAGAAGCTGGAAAATGTCGTAGATCTGAAGAACAAGATACTAATTAGAATTTTCTCACATAAGATCCGAAAAAAGAAAAGCAAAAGACCTCTGTGTCTATATCTCTATTTTTGTAAATCAAAGTTAAGCTTGGAAGAGGGAGCATGACCAAGCACGATATGATATTCCACCTTCCAATATCTCATTGTTTTTTAAATAACAGGCACAGAGATTAAACATCTGACCAAGCCAGCAGTCAAACACTTGAAATGTAAAAGCACATCCAACCAAGTAAAATATCACTCTGATGATCAATAACGAAATATATACTTCTTTGTATGGGAGTTCAATGAAAACAATACAGAGACCGTCACACAAAGATTCGGTATTGCAGGCAAATATGGTGAACAAGGAAGAAAGGGAATGGATGACAAGAGGGGAGGGGGGATGGGGTTAGCACCAGCACATTGCAGGTTCAAAATGCACCTGATCCTTGAAACCACGTGAAAGCATTTCATCTGCCTCATCTAGCACAAACATCTTGATGTGATCAGGACGAAGGGACTGTCTTCGGAGCATGTCAAATACACGTCCAGGAGTACCAACTACAACATGAACCCCACTAGAAAGGATTCGTTGGTCTTCACGAACACTGGTTCCACCAACACAAGCATGTACTTTGACACCAAGATAGTCTCCAAGAGCTCGCATGACCTTCTCAATCTGCTGTGCAAGTTCCCTAGTGGGTGCCAGAACCAAAGCCTGGCACTCCACCAAACCGTAATCAAGTTGTTGCAAAATGCCGGAGCAGAAAGTGGCTGTCTTTCCAGTTCCTGATTGAGCCTGTTGAATAACATCTAAACCTTTGCAGAATGGTACAATTCCCCTCTGCTGAATTGCTGAGGGTTTCTCAAACCCTGCAAGGAAAATATACAAAAAAAAAAAAAAATGTCAGCATTCCTATAAGTATCATGTGGAACTTGTGGCTGGAAAGATGCTGTTGCTATATATTTTAGTTTGATGCTGAAACATGCTTTTTCTTACTCTTTTAATGCAACTGTTTCTCTCCTTTGTATCTCAATCTGTGCATTGCCTGTGTGCACATCTACTGCTACTTGTCAGTTATTAATCGTTGCTTATCAAAAGCCAAAAAACAAGCAATATAGGGCACATGCAGGGATATGTTTCTTCAACAGAAAAACTCGATTGCTTAAGGAGCATGAATCCCGCTTTCTATCTCACAAAAAACTCTTCTGCTCCCTTCTAAAAAAGAAAAGCACGTGTCAGCATGACACCCCAAAAAGGCAAAAGACCCTAGCTTCAAGTCTCCTATGATGTTCAATTTACACTTTCTAAACTGCAGAACATGTTGCCGATCTGTTATCAAGGAGAATAATTACGTAAAAAGAAGACAGGAGTCAAAAGTCGCACACACCATATGCGTAAATGCCCCTCAGGAGATTCTCTTGCAAGCCCATAGCATCGAAACTCTCATACACCTCATCATAAGATGTGAAGAAATCCTCCCCATCGGCCGAAAGTCTGCAGGCACGTATTGTAAAGCACATAAGCATTCCATGATAAGCACATATCCTAAGTGACTCCGAACTAAGAAGGTAGTCTTCCTTACATCTCACTCATCTTAGCATCGTACTGACGAGAGTCGAATGCCGAACCTTCTGGGGCCACTCCTGCCATTGCTGCCGAGATACAAAAAGAAGTCAATTTACAAAAGACGAATAAAACATAAATACTAACAAAAACTCGCAGAAATTCCTGGGGAATCGCAGCAAAAGGAGAGATTTTTCGCAAGAAAGCAGCCAAAGCTCGAATCTTGACCGCCCAGAAATCAACCAAAACCCATACCCAGATGGAACCGAAACAAAAAACAGCAGAAAAGAAGAGAACCCATCCGACTCCCCAGGAAAACCAAGCACACCCACCAACCCAAAAAGCCGAAGCCGCCAGAAAAAGCAATCGACAGCCAACGGAAAGCTCAAGAAACACGCGGATCAACCGCGGACCCGGCGACCCACGGACCCAGCACGCCGGAACCCGGGAAACCGAAGCCGGCGGCGGCCCAGAGGCCGATCGAGCAACGAGGGAGGGAGGGGAGGGGGGGGGAGGAGAGAGAGAGACGGACCTGATGTCGACGGCTGCTTCGGACGGAACGGGGAGAAGAGAGGGGAGGGATCGGCCGGCCGGTCGGCGGATCGATCGATCAAGATAAGGGGAAGGCGGCCGGAGAAGCTGGCGGCGATCGGGGGCGGGGGCGGGGGCGGTGGCGGCGGCGGGTGGGGAGCTCCTCCTCAGATCTGAAGCGAGAGATGCGAAGAGACGCGAGGAGAGAGAGACGATAACGAATGCGATTAGGGACGACGGGGAAGGAGGAGAGAGAGTGAGTGGAGAGTGAAAGAGAGAGAGAAAGCGAGAGGGGGTAGGAATTTCAATTTTTTTCCATTTTCTTTTTTTATTTTCCACGTCAGGGCGAGGGGAAGAAAAGAAAGTATCGTTGGCGTGCGATGTCGTCGCCCTTCTCCCCTTCTTTTTCTTGTTTTTCCTTCCTTTTTTTTTTTTTAAAGATTTTTCTTTCCCCTTTTTGTGCATTTTTTTTTGGAATAATACTATAAACAATCCATAAATGAATATTTTCATATAATTCGATTCCTGAAGCTAAATATGGATCAAAGATTTGGAACTATATCAATAAATTAAAAGTTCATAAACTATATCAATAAATTAAAAGTTTCCGATCAAATTACACATTACCAAAGTCATGAACAATAGTAATGACTTTATCAAAAGTGATATATCTAAATTTTTCCTTCTTTTTTTTCTCACAAGTTGGAGTGGCCACTCCAAACTCAAATGATTGAGCCCACCACTACCGGGCTGAAAAGCCACCAACCTCAAAAGCCCAGACATTGTTACAACTCATTTGTTTTTTCCATAATATATATACTCTAAACTCATATGATTGAGCCCACTAGGGCTGAAAGCACCAACCTAAAGCCTATACATATATATACACTAGTATGTATATATATATGGAAATGACCACAAAAAACCTCATATTACGCTCACTGTTATCCTGAATTTTTTTTGTGACATAAAAAATTCTAAATTATGCCCATCATAACGCAGTTACTTTAAAATTTTTCTTTTAACATAAAAAACACCAAACTCGTACCTGTGTGACATATTAACCCTCATTCGTCAAGGTTCTTTAGGTGATTTTCCAGCCAAAATAATGTCGTTTTTATTTCAGTTGAGCCACGTGGGCATCATGCTAACTCTGTTTGCTTTCTGGCATCAATGTAGGCATATTTTTAACGGTTCTTATTGACGGAACTTTGATGAAGGGTAAACATGTTATACAGATACAAATTTAAGGCAAATATGTCACAATAGGTATAATTTAGGATTTTTGGTGAATTTTGCCAATATATATCAGAGAGAGATGCTATCGACACGAAGACTGCATGTGGCCCAAAAAGAAAAAAGATAGCATTGCATACTATGCTATGTTTGTTCGGAAAGCTTTTTGTGGACACATAAAAACATAGGCATTTCGCAGCACATGCAAAGAGAATCTTAAGAGCACAAACACTAGATTTCGAACGCTCAGAGTGAAAATACGACGTTATTGGACGATAGCGGAACATCGAGCACCGAGCGATATCGACTCGCTCTCGAATATGGAACGGTGAACAATTTGTTGATAAGTTTTAGACGTTTGGTAAATGCAAGAATTAGGCAAGATTTTGATTCCTACTCAAATGCCATCAAATTGAATGAATTCATGTCGCTCCTTCCTTTACTTAGCAGATTAAGCGATTTTTTCGACTAAATTTAACTTTTTGAGTTACAACCGATTAAGATCTTAATGCTGAATATATATAAATTTTTCGCACCTAATTTAGTTATCAAATTCACCCGTACAATTGAAAAGGTTCCCTTCGATTGGAAAACGAGTGTCCAAGAGCAATCTGCGCCAATACATTTCATGGCATAACCGGGTGGAAGTAAGCACCCTCTTCTCCAAACTTCGGGAGAGAAAAGAGCAGCCCACAGAAAACCCTCAATTCTAGCAAAGGTCAGGTTACTTTCTTGCCAAAGGTTAAGTAATGTTTTGATACAAAACGCAAAAGCACAGGATCTCTGAAGCAACGATATTTCCTCCAAGGGGCGGCCTTAGCACTGCAAGTTCATAGCAGAATATCAAGTCAATGAGTGTATTGTTCGTTCAGATGCATTTGCAGCGAGATGAGTGCATTGCTCGTTATATGCATTTGCAACGAAATGTGCAAAGGTGGCTCCCGAACTGGGAGATCACATCGACTAGGCCTCCATAACCCCCGACTGCAGTTACCTGAACAAGATATTAAGCCCGATAGGATTAATTGCTTAAGGATCAGAGCGTGCAGGGGGATTTTTTTCATCATTGACGTGGTAGGAAAAGATAAGATACGTTATATGTCAGATGTTGTGAGTTCTTGCAGGAGAAGCAATCAGATGATGAGGGATACTTAAGAGGAACTTACACCAGATTGATGCAGAGAAACCGAAAACACCGACTGAGGCGCACAATACATTTGAGAAAGAACCGCCCCATTCATGTCTAAACGACTGATCAAAGGTTCAGCTCCAACCTCTAATATCTGCAGTTGAGAACAATTATTTCAGCGCAATTAGGTAGGCCACTGCCATAAGACGCGGGATAAGGATTTTCAACAGGCAGGGAGTACTTCTCTCTACAGTAAGCTAGACCAATCAACCATAGCTATAACATTTTACAGAGGTACGAGGAAGATATATAGCAATGAAATTAGGGATGATTCAAGGAAATAGAAAAATCTACTAATGTTTTTAGAAAGTTACTAACGAAATAACGGAATTTACCGATATGATACTACTAACACAAATGAAAAATCACCATCACCTGCAAAATATTACTAATTGAAGAAAAAGAATCCGTGATTTCAGCTCACTATAATGTAGAATTTTCGTGAAATTACAAGTCAGAAACTGAGAAAACATTCATATGAACAAATTAGTGGAGCTCTAAATAATACTGTGTACTCTTCCAACCAAAAAAATAAATACATAATACTTTGTACTCATCCAAAAGAATGCAGTCATCTTCTTGAGAAATTCTAATAATTTCATGTGTATCGTTCTTTTGTCAGAAATTTGAACCTTTTGAAATCCAATTGTGCAGTGGTATTTTTGCTCAAGTAAATTCAGTTTGCAAGGTCAGGCAAAAGACTGAAACAAGTCCAACTGCGACAATGGTTTTCCTTTCGGATAGGATGCTTTGAGTAAACCCAGGATAACAAAGTCAAGCAAACGACTGAAGCATCGAGCAAGACAAAACCTTGTAATGCTGACTTGGAAATGAAGTTCATATAATGAGAAAGATATACAACTGTACAGGAGAAATTCTGGATATTAAATTACAAGCGACTCACCTGATTATCATCAAATAAGACATCCTGCGCAGGAGCACTGGTTGAGATTTTTGCTATGCAGTCAGAAGCAGATATACTCCAGATAGATAAATCCCGACCCCGACCACAGATCTGCATGAAAAATGAAAAGATTAGAGGGGCATGACATCAATATATGAAAATGCTACATGCCAAACACTAATTCATTACACCAATGTAAAACCTTGAGAATTTGACTAAGCCAAAGGTCAACCTCATGAAATGACCAGACAAGTACTTTACCAGACAAAAAGGATCATATGCATAACTTAATCTGACATAAATAACATCATAAAGTATCATCAAAAGTTCCAAAATTAATAATAGCCAGTATAAAGTAGGATAAGTAAAAATCCTCCATAGGTTGTAACATTTGATTACAACAACCATCGCCAAATATGAAGGCATTTATAGCAACTAAGAATACTTGCTAATATGAAACTTACCAACCAACTCTCACTTGCATCAAGAGCAAGGCAACTAACACTTGAGAAGAAACCTTTCTTACGGTCTTTGTCTGGATCAATTACTTGGACACACTTACCACTTCTGCAATCTAGCAGAAAGACTATAAGTTAGACCTGTCAAGAAGAAAAGAAAATGAAAACAATCGACCACAAGTAACATATAGAGTGCAGTAACAAAAAAATGAATAAAAATGCCAAACAGAAGCAACAAAATATAGAAAAAGGAAAGGGAGGGGGGTTCCTACCCCATATTCTTGCTGTCCCATCCTCTGAACCTGTTACAATCTGCAATAGAAGATACCTTTAGAATGCAACCAATTATTCAGGATAGGAGACTCACCAAACTTTGCAAAACTAGACCCCATAACAACCCTACAAGCAAAAAAAGGGGGGAGGGGAGGAGGGAGACTGCAACCGATATGAAGAACATCAAATAAAAAAACATATCCAACCTGACTCGAAGAGTTCCGTGCAACTATACAGTGCAGGTAGTCAGAATGCCCTTTGAAAACCATCTTTATTTGACCACACTCCTGAGAATTCCAATGAAAACGGGCTATAAAATTTGCAACAGAAATACAAAGTTGGAAATTATACAACAAAAATATGCATACCACGTCCCAACAATATGCACAAGAATCACCAGCTGCAGCATAAATGGATCCCCGCTATTCAAACAAGAGGAAGAAAAAATCAGTAGAGGGAAACATAAGGAACAAATTTCAGCACACATGTCCATATGGCGCGAAGATAAATAATCTCACACCTTAACATCTACAGCCAGGGCATTGTTCTCAGGGATTGGTGAAAGGGCACCCCAAGGACCTCTACAAGGCAATAAGGATGACAAAAGAAGTCAAAAAGGAAATCAGAGAAGGTGGAAGGCATATTTGATCTGTTAGAATAACAAATACATTTTACAAAGAATTAAAAGTCAAATCCTTGCACAGTTGAAGCGATAAGTATGCTCATGATTTTTCACATTTGTAAAATTAGTGAATCTGATGGGAACCAAGAGATGTCCAGAGTGTTTCAAGATGTGAAGTTCAACTTAAATGGCTATCTGACAGATCATACCAAGTTGATCTGGCATCAGAGAAGATTTCTCCCTGATAACTATACAATAGATATCTACGTTGGAATGAGACCGGATGATATAATGACACTATGCCCAAAAGTTTGTTCTCACCAATTTCAATGACCATTAAGATAAAACTTTGTTTTGGCACACTAATAAGCCATTTTCACAGGTAGCCATACCTACAAATATGAAGATGACTACAAATGGTTTCAGAAAATAAATCAAGGACGAAGTACACACCTACTTTGAGGATTCACCAAATCAAGTACTGGTCTTGCACTGTTTCCTGTGACATGCAAAATAAACAAAGAGTGATGTCTACATCATTGAGGATACTTAACCCTTAATTAGTAGTAGTCATTTGTTGAATCACTGAATCATCTTGTGGGACAGTGATATCCATCACAAAAAGTACCAAGAATTTGAGCAAGCAATGCCAAAAATTACCAAGAATATAATGCTAGGAAAAAGGCACTTTTGCAGTGACCTAACAAGGCTAGACGTCAGGCAAAAAGTACACATTGCCATGGAATACAAACTAATGGGACAAAACTTCCAAAAAGGATTGAAGAAGATGTGGAGATACTTGCCATATTACAGGGCTTTTTTCCTTGAATCTAGCAAAAAGGAAGTGATGGAAAAAGCAGCAAGCGTGAAATCTGTTGTAGAGGACTGAAAATGAAGTTTCCCAGTTCAGTTTAGTTCCAATTTTTCTTCTTTTTTTCTTCCATCTCAAAGTACCTTGCCAGAGGATATCTTAAATGACGCACACGTCCCCACTAAGATGCTAATTCCTAACATATATAGAAAGAGAGAAAAAACATAATCCAATATTCCTACTGATCAAGAATATCAAGCTCAACATATGTGCAGTTGCCATCCAACTCAGAAAAGTCAAGTGGTCAAATTTCCAAACAAAAACAAATTAATGAAAATGCTAAATGATTAGGCGGCTCCTTCATTTGCAGTTAAGCTCCGTGAAGCAAAAAAAGTCACATAATTACTACCTTGTGAACGTTCATGCGCCTCTGAGCTCATAATGTCTCTCCACATCCACCCCCGAATCCGTCCATCATCACCACAACTACAGGATCGCATAATATCATCAGATTCTTTCTTTAATGAACTAAGAATGCTACTCAAGTATAATACAAGGAGCTTATCCATATAAAACGAAAAGACTAGCTCTATTAAAACAAAGCAACCTCGTTCGTGATGCTAAACCCATACTGCCTAAAGAATACCCACATCTACATGTCTTCCTGCAGTCAAATGGCCTTAAGCTTGCTTACAACACCATCGAAGATTGGAGTTACCATGGCCACGTATGTAGGGTAGGCAAATTGGGTAGAATCACAGAATCTATGGGCTTGATTAGCAATGAAGAGAAGATAGAAGATCAAGTAAAAACATGAGAAGTATCAGACGGCGTGTACCTCAGTAGAAGCGAATCTTCGCCATCACCATAAAATTTGACATCATAGGCAGGTCCATCGTGCCCTTGAAGGAAACAAGCAGGTTCAGCCTCTAACACGCTGCGCAGTTTAGACCGGCGCCACAGATTGTAAAAGGAGCCTAGTCAGTTTGCCTTCTCATTTGAAACTCGTAAAAATCAGTACCTATCCGCTAGCAATCGCGCATACTCACTTTTGAGTCTTCGTGTCCCCAAAGCGCAATGACTGCCGTCTCTGAAGCACGCATAATACCATTACTTTTCGCAATTCAAAACACACAAAACGAATGTACAGAACAACAACGCAACCAGTAAGTGAAAAGCCGCAGAGTTCTCAAGACTTCAACGAACTCAACTGCCGCGAACAAATCAAAAACCTGGCCAGCATTATCCATTAAAGAATTTCACCGAGCATTCGATAAATCCCAAGCCAACATTACGAATCTCAGGAAGCAAAATTCACAATCGAACATCATACGCACGTCACATCCTCGAAAGCGCCATCACGCGTAACCGAACGTAGAAGCAGCAACCTACGAGCCTCGCCAAAGCTGGCTCGAAATCGATGAGAACGCCGCGGCGAGAGCTCGGATGAGAACTCAACGCCCCCAGCGCAAGGGGACTTACGTGATCGGACAAGCAGGAAGAGATGGAGTAGGAGGCGACGGAGCCGTCGCTGGCGGCGACGACGACGGCGTCGGGGCTAGGGTTCCGGGAGGGAGGGAAGATGGCGCGGAACACGGTGCGGGCCTGGACTTCCCTCTCCTTCAGGACGCTCTCCCGGTAGGCCTCCTCGTCCCAGCCCGTCGCGTCGCCGCACATCGTCGGCAGCTTCTTCCGGATTCTCCGAACCGCCGGAAAGTTGACTCTTTTGCGAGCTCCTGTCGAGTGTTGACCGCCGTCGAGCGTTCTGAGGTTCAGGCTTTGGTGTGGAGGGAGACAAACGGTTCCTTTTCTTCATTTTCTCTCTTTATTTCACGAAAAAATTATTAATTTTAAAAATATTTTCTCAAAATTAATTATTTTATATCGTTTGAAATGATTAACTTATTAAAAAAATTTCATTGTTGATAATAATCTACGTCTAAACATTTTAATAAACGATAAAAAAAAATTTTGTTCATTTATTTTTGTCTAATTCCCGAATTCCAATAAAATCATATCTATTAACTTCATGAATTTTACCTTAGATTTCGCATGATGATCATGATCATGCGATTAGAAAGCCTACCTCGAGCGACATTTCCCTAACCTCATTATACTTGTTTCTTTGTCAATTCAATTGCATACGGATAGCGACCGTGTTATATTTAGACTCTTCTTGACTTGTTCATCCTATTTTGGAAGTATAATTACTCACCGGTGACTTGGCCCACCCCCGATTGCATAGTAGGAAATTTAGAGAAAGCAGCATTTCAGAAGAGAGATTGATCCGCTATTCCCTTCTCTTAATTGCATCGTTGGATATTACAATTAAGGGGGAAGGGACCTCAATATATGCACACGCCCCTCATATAAATCTCTCGTCAATCTAACGGTAGAGATCTAATCTCTCTATTTACCAACTACCCTCGTCCAATCACGAGAATACTCTAAAACACCCGGTACTTCTTTGGCTTTTTGTGCTTTGAGAGCCTCCGGTGCTAGAAAAATATTCAAGACAATGATATAATAGTTACAACATTCTGTAACCTGATTCGTGGTCCCACTCAGCTCCACGTTATATTTTCACTTACTACATTCAAAGTATAATGGCGGCTAAAGTATATAATATGACGGTCATTCAAATTAGCAGTGATTCTAAATTCATCCAGTTTAAGATCAATAATGCACAAGACACCCCCACAAAAGCAACTTTCCGAGGGAGTAATGACAATTCTAGGACAGTTCAAGTGCTTCTCATGTTTCCATCTTCTCTCTTGCGTATCTTGTAAAACAGCTGATAGTACCCTTTTCTTTTCGTTTGTTGACGGAATCCGATCGATATACGATGTTCGTCGAACTGGATTTGGCTGGGGTTTTCTTGCTACTTGCTTGTTCCTTACAAGAAGTATGATGCTGGGTTTTGCAGCAAATCAAATGGGTGGCAGGAGAGCTCCGAGAGCAGCTGTTAGAATAACAGTTGAAGGTAGTCTTCCTAGTGTTTAGGAATCTATGTGGCTTTGCTGTGGAGTCTCAAGTATAAACACCGGATCCCAGATGGACGTAGCGCAGTGTAAGGAAACATAAACAGATGAAGTAAACCTGCGGTCGAAGGCCGAAAGAGATGCAAGAACAACAACCGAACTCGATACTTGTACAGATCGAGTTCCTGACCATGTGTGTGAGCACAACTTAGGCTATTTCGACTGTTTGCTGTGTAGTCTCAAGTATAAACACCGGATCCCAAATGGATGTGGCATGGCATAAGGCGACATAAACAGACGAAGTACGCCTGCGGTCGAAGGCCGAAAGAGATGCAAGAAGAACAACTGAACTCGATACTTGTGCTGATTGAGTTTATAGGGGGAGAAGGATAGTCCATACTTCAGTAACCATTTAGTTTTGTGAATTAGAAATGATTATATGAAAATATTATCCATTGCCGCGAAAAGTTTGAGGACAGACTATCATAGAGATATAAATATTATTACATCACAAATTTCACAAGTGAATGAAATTGTCATATCAGTAAAAAAAAATTGCTTATTGTCACGAAAACTATATAGAAAAATAATCATTACCTTGTACTTATGAAAATAAAAACTGTTGATTATTATTTGGCACGAAAACATTTATATATAAATTATTATTTATAATAAAATAATTTTTATTAATTAATTATTTTAAGCAATACAAACTATCGCTTTTTAAAATATATTTTTCAAGTCCTCAGTATTTTTTCGCCGAACAGCCGACAAAATCCAGTTAGATACCAAACGTACTCAAACTTGTCCGCGATGTTTCTCACGAGGAGAGAAAACGACGGCGTTTCCACGCAACCGGGAACAGTCCCCCGGGGGGGGGGGGGATTTCCCAACGGTCCAGCGTCCGCCAATGGCGCCGCTCCACGTGTCACCCAGGAAGCTACCGTTGAACCACCTCAGCAGAAATCAAAGGACACGAGACAACTCCCCTCACCACCCAGCCGAAACTCTATCCTCAAACTCCCCTCGCACACACGGACGCAGAGAAGTCGCAGCAAGAGAGACAGAGAGACGGACAGAGAGAGAAAACGGAGAAGGAGGAGGACTCGAATCGCCCGGCATTCGGTTCCGGCGACCTCCGAGCCACGCGCTGATGGCGTGAGCGGGTGGAAAGCAGCACATCCTGCGGGAAGGACCGGTCGAGGGCGAGCGGGGGAGGGGGATGGAGTGCGTCGTCGGGGGCGGCGCGGGGCGCTTCGCCGCGGCAATGGCGGTTGCTCCCCGCCCGAGGTGGAGGGCGAGGAGGGCGAGGGGTCATGCGCCGTTTCGGAGGCGCAGAGCTTGTGGGGTGGTCAGGGCAGGTGGCGCCAGGAGCAGCGACGGCTGCGTCGCCGTCCGGGAAGGCTTCGCCGACGAGGAGGATTACGTCAAGGCCGGGGGCTCGGAGCTGTGCTTCGTGGAAATGCAGCAGGGCAAGGCCATGGATGACCAGTCTAGGATTGCAGATAAGGTCAGTGAGTGTAGTGGCCCTTGTTGGGATTCTGGTGTTTTTTTTTTTCTTTTACGTGTTGCAGAGGCAGAGCATGCGAAATGACGTTTGTACTAGACGCGCAAACTGAAAGATGTAGGGGTAGTCATCTTCCTGATTCCTGATGTCGATATTGGCAACCTTAATACTGATAAGTTTTATGCGTTTGGATGTTCGTATATGCTACGAAGACCATTAAGATTACGGCTACATATGCGGGGCCGTATCTGTTTATTGAAGGTTCCATTAACATGTAGTGGCTTCGCAGTAATATCTTGAAGTGATGCATATAAAAGAACGTTCGGCAGTACAACGGATTTCATGGGCAGCCACATTTAATTAAGCTGTTTGGAAGATATCATGTTTAGATCAGATTCTTATTTGGGATGGTTATAGTTAATCCATACAGCTCCATTGACTACTGCAACTACTGTGATCTCTGTTCTGTTAGCGGCATTACTCATTCTGTTTCGTGCCTAATGTTTATGCTTTATCTCGCGTGCTTGGTTGAAGGTGTCCCCTGTTATTGGCTACTTTTGCAGTTACCACCAATCTCACTAGGAAATGATCCACTGGATTTAGTTGTGATTGGTTGTGGTCCTGCTGGCCTAGCTCTGGCTGCGGAGTCTGCAAAGCTAGGATTGACCGTCGGACTCATTGGCCCGGATCTTCCTTTTACAAATAACTATGGTGTATGGGAAGATGAATTTAAAGGTACAAGCAATCTCTCAAAGTTTAGTTTTTCTATTGAAAATGCCATCATCGTAATAGAGCTCTTCATCTCCAATTAGGGAGAGGTAGCTAATAGTCTGGCATAATAAATGTCAGCAGTGAGGATCAAGATTGAATAAAAGGTTCTTGAGCATGAGCCTATTGTGTTGGCATTCCTCCAACCATTACTTTAGAGAAGTTTAGATAAATGACGATCCCTCGGTTAGAAATCTATCTTTTCATTTCATTTCTTTTAGTATTTGAAGAAACAAGTTCCGTCCCCTTGGAAAGAAGGAAATACAGCCTTATTTCAGTTGACTTAGGTCTCACTTTTGCTGGAATTGCATTTTTCTCAAAGCAGTAGCATATCTGCTTATCTAAGTTTCCCCTTATGTTGTCACCTTCATTTGGCTTTTATAAGCTGGTGCCAGCTTCTCTAAGTAATTGCTATTATCCTAAAGTTGTTGTACAATATAAGTGTTGTTGAAACTGCCACGACCAGTAAAATGTTTTTCAATGTTTCTTGAAATTAGTGCTTGTGCTGTGTTGCGTTTAACTGGAGACTAAGACTCTCCATTTTCAGATCTTGGACTTGCAAAATGTATCGAGCATGTCTGGAAGGATACAATAGTATACCTTGACGATAGCAAGCCAATTCTGATTGGTCGTGCATATGGACGAGTTAGTAGACACCTGCTTCATGAGGAGTTGCTAGACAGGTTAGCATGGCTATGATTTTTGGCTGTTATTTGTCCATCTCATAGAACACTCTCCATATATATGTAATCCTTATTAAATTTCCTTAGGTGTGTCAAGTCAGGTGTTTCATTCCTGAGCTCTAAAGTGGAAAGTATCTTTGAAGCTGTCGATGGGTATAGTCTTGTTGCTTGTGAACATAACGTTGTCATCCCATGCCGGTAACAGAGGAAAACTGCACAATTTGTACATTCTTGTCAGCGTAGCTTTACTCATTTCCTTTACCTGAAGCTTCTAGCATAGTATTATAGGCTTGCTACGGTTGCATCTGGAGCAGCTTCAGGGAAACTTTTGCAGTATGAGGTGGGTGGTCCAAGGGTTTCTGTCCAGACAGCTTATGGAGTGGAGGTTGAGGTAGTATAATAGTGTAAATGTTCATGTGCAGTTCCTATGTAGGTTTAATGTCACTCAGAAGTGAACTTCACTTTTCGAGCTTTTGGGTCATCGAATAATCTCCCATTATCTATACCAGAGAAATATACCAATGGCGGTATCTTTATAGTTTGACTCTCTGTAGCTCGATGTAAATGCGCTAATATTCAGACTGAAATGAATGTTAAAGTGAAGGAGCGGTTTGTAAGCTGATGTGAAAAAATTGCATGTTTACTTTTTCATTCTTTTAGAAGTATTTTATTTTTACCTGAATTGAGTATGATCTAACTATATTAATGCTCCTGTGCCCTTTAAAATGAAGCAGGAGGTGAAATTATGTAGAATTTGCAAAACCCTTCTGAACCTAAATATTACTACTTTTAGGAATTAATGGAAGCAGGAAAATTCATAGCTTGGTGCTTAAATATTGTGTTTCCCCCCTTGCTTATGGATTTGTCCTTTCCAATTTCAGGTGGAAAATCATCCATATGATCCCAATCTGATGGTTTTTATGGATTATAGAGATTATATCAAGCAAGAAATTCCCTGTTCAGAAGCTCATTCTCCAACTTTTCTGTATGCCATGCCCATGTCATCCACCAGAGTCTTCTTCGAGGTTTCCTCTGATAAATAATTTACTTCATGAATGACATTACTTATCCAAATTCTTGTGATACTAACAGAGATGCCCTACAGGAAACTTGTTTGGCTTCAAAAGATGCTATGCCATTTGACGTACTAAAGGAAAAGCTGATGTTGAGGTTAGAAACATTGGGTGTCAGAATTACAAAAACTTATGAAGAGGTATTTTATGAATTTATACGATGATTACTTGCTAAGTATATTTTTATTGTTTACAATGTCATTAAGCACTTTCTTGTGTGTGAATTTTACAATTATTATGGTACTTAACAAGGTAACTTAGACATTTGTAACCAACTTTAGTAACTAAGCAAAGGCATTACAGTTCTTGTTAATGTTGATGATTTATGTGAGAATTGTCTGGTCCATCGTCTCCTTAAATTTACTCTTGAGGAAATAACCTTTTCAGAATGCCTTTTATCTTTAATCTTGCACTATAATATTCGGTATTACAAGAGTTCATCAAGAAAGCATATTTAGCTATCTGACGCTATGTTTATCTTTTTTTTTGGTAAGGGACGCTATGTTTATCTTTAGATGTACTTTCCTCGACAATCTACACATGTATGTGTTTCCTCTTGCATAGGAGTATAAAACACACCAGCTAATGTTTCTTTAAACATGAGGAAATTTATTATATGGAGAAATATCCGGATAATACCACGAGTTGGTTTATGCTCCTTGTGGAAGTGTAAACTGCATACATTAACCCTTCCATCACACGACTTGACAATGTCACATGAAGTGCATGCACCTGTCAGCTTCTTTTTTTTTTTTGGTCAGACACCTTTCAGCTTCTTTGGAAATGTGCAAAATTGCACCATTGCTATTGTCGCACATGTGTGCATCATTTTGCAGTTGTGATAACATAATATATATATATATATATATATATATATATATATATATATATATCTATTTTCGATATACTTTTGAAATTTCATGTTAATAGTCATCTGATATTTTCGATGCCCTATACAGGAGTGGTCTTATATCCCAGTTGGTGGATCCTTGCCAAATACAGAACAGAAAAATCTTGCATATGGTGCTGCTGCCAGCATGGTGCATCCAGCTACAGGTGAAGAAAAAAACAAGCTGATCTAACATTTTTCTCTTTTGCCTAAATTATATGTCTCTGTTTTCGAACAGGCTATTCTGTGGTGAGATCCTTGTCTGAAGCTCCTAATTATGCATCTGCAATTGCAAATATTTTGAAGGCTGGGCAAGTTAAGGGGACTCATGCTTACAAACGAAGTAATGGAAACATCTCGATGCAAGGTACATGTACTCTCTCTCTCTCTCTCTCTCTCTCTCTCTCTAGCATTTCTTCACAATCAGTTTACTAGTAGTGCCAATATTTTTACGCAATTTCATCTAGTGCAATGTGTACGAACTTTGTGCTGAATATCCACTGTAACCGTGGGAGGTGGTGCATGCTGCGTCAATTTTTATTTGGTTAAGGTTGCAGAATTTTGACCCCTGGATTCAGATAGGCACTACTAGTCAATCAAATTGGAGTGAGTCTCTTTGGATGTTTTTTGAATATAAACTTTATGCTTTTATTCATGCATCCTTTTGCCTATGGGAATCCTTGTTCTAGAATCAGTGGGAGCTTGGAACCAAAGCTTTCCCCAGTACGGATAATATGTTGACAGCACCAAGTCATTCATGCATTCAAACATTTGCTTGGCCTCTGTACACCAGTACATGCACTTGCGCCAATAACTTAATGAGTTCACTTCCCATGGACAAGTAGCAGCAAATTTCCTTTGTATCCTAATAACCTGATGACTGAAGTTGAATGAGCTCAACCTTCTGGTGATAATAAGAACATTTCCCTGTCATTCTCTACCATGTATCTTGTTCATCATATTAATGTCATTGTTGCTTATTTTCTTTGAATTTTTTTAGGGGTGTTCTTTCTATCTCTCCATCTTCATCTTTATCCCAACTCTGTTCTTTTATCACACAGTGATGTAGATTTCTTGTATACATTACCCTTTTTCATTATTAAGCTGGGCAAATTGGTAATACCTATCTAAATAGAGAAAATACTTATAAGCAGAATTATCTAATGGGGAAAGAGTCAGAAAACAAGTGTTGCTACTAATATATAACAGTTTCCCATAAAAGATAGGCATTAAAATAAAAAACGAGTGTTGTTTATAAGTAACGTCACAATGCCTTCAGCTAAAACTGCATATGCTCGGTGAAGTTTGATTCATTTTATTAGCTCACTGGTTTTAGCAAGATAAGCTTAAGGCAAATCATATTTATGAGATTTTTGTGGGACCACTGCTAACTGTTCTAAAAACTTAAGCTGTTAGACGAAGGCTTGGTTTAATATGTAAATATTCTAACACTCCCCCTCACACTTAGTTTGGTCTTTTTGCCTAGTACTAATCGCAGACATATTTATTTGGTGAGGCAAATGGGGCCTGGTAAGATTTAAACTCAGGACCTGTTGCTCTAATACCATGTGAGATTTTTGTGAGACCACTACCAACTATTCTAAAAGCTTAAGCTGTAAGACGAAGGCGTGGTTTAGTACGTAAATATTCTAACAATATTTATTGTAGATGGTGCGTATCTGTCTTCTATAAAAGGTTATGTCTTAAACCCAACCCCCACCCCCTTCCTTTCCTCTCTCAAACTAAGGTTGGCAGTCTAAAGAAGTAGCCTTCTTAAAAACCTACACATGGGTGAAATTGAAATTCTTTTTTCCACCATGTAAAATACAGGAGACCCAATAAATGGATAATAGAGGCACTAAAGGAATCAACCTTAAGATCTTTCATGGTGATATCGTGTTAATTTTGAATAAGAAAGTGTCTTTTTAGACAAGTTTAAGCTATTTAAGAACAAGGTGGAATATTGTGCACATCTTAACAATACTTTGTTGAATGGATACTAAGAATAGATTTATGAGATTCAGTTGGTTTACAGTTATCTTACCGTGGACTATCTTTTGTCAGCTTGGAATACCCTATGGCCACTCGAAAGGAAACGGCAAAGGGCGTTTTTCCTCTTTGGACTGGCTCTTATCTTGCAGCTGGATATCGAGGGAATCAGGACATTTTTTCATACATTCTTCCGTTTGCCTCGATGGTAATTCCTTGGTGCTCTGCTATTGTTTTGCATAAGAGAACTTAGACATTCCATCAGAGTTTACAGAGCTAAAACCGCTTGGATATATGTCAGTGAACATAAAATAGAAGTCTCTATACTTCAAGCATTAGATAGTGTGCATCTAGAGAACTGAACTCGTTATTGACAAAAAAGTAAGCACTTTGTTCATTTCATGCCATCTATCCCAGAATTAGGGGCATTTTCTTTGTCAGGAGTTCTTGTCAAGTAATAGGCTTTTGTGATTTAGCATACACATTTGTCAAGATTTTGAGGAATCGACCATGTAGGTTTATTCTTCATACCGTGTAAAGTACAAGATGACTAATTCGGTTACTTTTACATAAGTTGAGCTCCGAAGAATGACACACAAATTAAGCCAAAGGCGGGAATCATGTAAGGATGTTTTCTCCATATAAAAATAGCGAAGATGATATACAAGAAACTATTTGACTTCTACAAGAACATACACATTGAATGACAATTGGACCTTTTTGTTGAAAGAACTGGACTTTTAAATTTTGATGCTTTTACAAATACTGGTATCGCAAAACTTCCTATTGCATGCGATGGGAAGCTTAAGCAATGGGAGCAACCTTTGAATCTCTTGAAGAAATAATTGACATGGACATATGACTGTCTTTCTTTGCAGGATGTGGCAGGGCTTCCTAGGCTCTACTCTTTCTTCGGCTGACCTTGTACTCTTTGCTTTCTATATGTTTGTCATAGCACCAAATGACCTGAGAATGGGCCTTGTCAGGCATCTGCTTTCTGATCCAACGGGAGCAACTATGATAAGAACTTATCTTACAATCTAGTGCTTTTGTTTGTTTTCTCGTTGCCGGCATCCCAGGTTAGCCACAACTATCTTTCCCTTCACTTCTAGGTATTCACATGTATATACACTTGTTCGTCGCATTTATTTTCCTTGTGTAGCAACATTATTGTTTTTCTTAGCCTGTAACTTTTAATACTGATAGAGTCGAAGGGTGGGATATCAGTTAAAGCATCATTACAAGTCAATTTTGGAGGACAGATCTGGATTTCATAAAATGACCAATTCGAAGAGATTACAGTGATGCTTTGAATTGATAGTTCCAAGTTGTGTAGTGGAACAAGGCTTTGCAAGCTACATTGCTGTCATCTCTTCGGTTGTCAACTCATCATTGGTTTGGAAAATACTGAACTTCTTCAAGCAAAGAGGGGGAATCAGTTAGAACCTCATCATCCATGCGCATGCCCTTTTTCTCCACTGACATTGCATTGGACTAAAAGAATATGTAAACCCTTGTTGACTATCGTGATCGTACAATGTACTATCTCAGAGTTGGAATGGTTCCACTTTGGCCTTAGGATATATTCTTCTGTCTGCAATCTCTGGGGATTCTCCTCTAGAAGGCCATCAGAATGAAACAGCAAAAGAGGTGTTAATATAATCAACTGGGGGAACGCCATGATGTTGACTTGATCAATCGCAATTTGCTCAAGGGTCATGGATCATCATAAGCTAGGTGATTCTCCCATGCTTGATATGCCTTATCCTTTTCATTATTTAATCCATTATGGTTTCTCTTTTGATTACTTAAATCCAGTATGATTGCCTCGCTAGAGAATCGGATGGTAGTAAAAAGAGTTAAAGCAGACGAGGAATTCACAATCTGTGTGGTCACTTGGTAAATTAACCTCGGCATGGAATGTGCGAAAGGCGAGATACTGATCTAGCACTCCTTTATTGTTAAATGATCAGAGCTACAGTTGATTGAAGCATATATACTTTGTGCTGCTTTCCATCATGGCACGTTCTTGTGAGAGCGGGACCTGTGCTTCTTGTAAAATATCATTTAAGTATGCTTCGTGCTGCCCTAGTTTGGCCTCCCCTGAAAGAAGTAATCTTTCGTGTTGCCTTTGCTAGTGCGATTCATTTTCTTATGTGGAGAGAACCACACTATTAGAAATGATGAGTCCTTGGTTCTTCACGAAAGAGGGAATGAAATTGGCAATGTCCTCGGAAGCTGGCTTTATTCATTTGACCAAGCTATGTTGTGTTAGAACTGTTAGTCAAATGATGCAGGACAATATTTCTGCGAGCCCTTTCACGCGCAAGCCGGATTAGGAGCGGCGCATGGAATTTAACTGCAGGAGTGGATGCACATACATGAAAGGGATAACACTAACTCTGATACCATGCTGGAAAGTCTAATGCAAAAACTTAAGCTGAGACCACATGTATACAAAGAGTATATGGCATCCGTTGTCGAGTAATTTCATCTAATACTCACGCTTTATCAATCCGGGTTTTCCCATTTTGGATGCGGAACTAGTGTTTCTTCACAATGTCTTTTTTGGAATCAGATGAAAGCGGTAATTTGAAGGCCCGTGATCATATTACCAGCTCTTCGAGGAGTGTCCAATTAGTAACTACTCGAATGAGTTGGACCAAAACCAAACCCGGGTTCTCATGGGTTTTAATGTCTCTCCTTTCACACCCAAGTGTTCTTGTCATCCCATGTCTTTCGGACCCAATGATCAAACCTGACAAAACATAGGATGGACATCCATAGCAGAATTAGGAAATTGCCCAAAAATGGACAGGGGTTCCACAAGCTAATGTCAAAGTGGTTCTTTAGAATAGGAACTAACGTGAGAATATAAAGCTAAAGATGAGAGACCCGACTGACATTAGGGGGCTGCTTTTCATCTAATCCTCACGATTTCTCAATCTGGGTTTCGCCAATTTGGCTGTGGAACTGTTGTTTCCTTGCAATATGACCTTTTGCTTTCGACCAAAAAAAAAAAAGAAGTCCTAGGGTTCTTCCATGGGCCCTTGTTCATATTACCAGCTTTTCTAGGAGTGTCCAATTAGTAACTACTCGAATGAGTTAGACCAAAACCAAACCTGGACTCTCATGGGTTTTAATGTCTCTCCTTTCAAGCCAAGTGTTCTTGTCATCCCCATGTCCTTCGGACCCACAGATCAAACCTGACATAACATAGGATGGACATCGATGACAGAATTCGGAACTTGCCCAAAACGGGCAAGGGTTCCGCAAGTTGATGGCAAAGAGGTTCTTCAGGATAGGAACTAAAGTGAGACTATAAAGCTAAAGATGAGAGACCCGTTGTCTTTGGTGGGCTACTTTTCATCTAATCGTCACGATTTCTCAATATGGGTTTTCCCATTTTTTAGAATCAGATGAAAAAGGGATAATTTGGAGTCCTAGGGTTCTTCCGTGGGCCCTTGTTCATATTACCAGCTCTTCTAGGAGTGTCCAATTAGTAACTCCTCGAATGAATTAGACCTAAACATAACCTGCGCTCTCATGAGTTTTAATGTCTCTCTTCACACCAAGTGTTCTTGTCATCTCACGTCCTTCGGACCCAATGATTAAACCTGACATAAAATAGGATGGACATCCATGGCAGAATTCGGAAATTGCCCAAAAATGGACGAGGGCACAAGTTAGTGGCGAAGTGGTTCTTTAGAATAGGAACAATAGGAACTAAAGCGAGAATATCAAGCTAAGGATGAGAGACTCGACTGACTTTGGGGGCTGCTTTTGATTATTAAACATGCAAAGGGAGAACCTGGAGAAGATAAGGATATCAGCAATATATTCCCAGTACGTCATGTGACATGACCACAACCTTTTATGGTGATCTCCACCTTCTATAAAAGCCCCCCCGAGACGACATCTGGAGGTACACAGTTCAATCTAGCTTTCTCCTATGTATATATAGTATGAGGGGGAGAGAGAGATACAGAGAGAAGCTGGAATTTATGGGGTTGCTTCGACAGAATACGGGCAAGGACTGGCTGTGTGCGCTGTTGCGATATGGTGATGGAGTAAGTTCATCTCTTTTGGGTGGAGGTGACAGAAGAGAGTGAGCACACATGGTTCTTTTCTTGCATGGTCTTTCTTGATGCTTGAAGCTCTGTGTGCTCACGTCTCTCTCTGTCACCCCATGTCCCCTCTCTCTCTCGTTTTTAGAAATACCATAATGGAGAAAAGGGAGGGAAATTGTCCAATCAATCTTAAACGTACTGTACGGATACTAATTCAATCATAAAATTTTCAGTTTTACCAATTGAGTCATAAATCTATATGCAATATTTTAATGTAGTCCTTTCGATCAATTTTCGTCATGTGCCGCGTATGATGATCGGCAATAACTAGACCGCCATGTCAACAATTTCCGATGAAAATTGATCGGAATGAGTACATTGAAATTTTTCACAAAGATTTAACGTTCAATTGGCGAAATTGAAAAGTTTATAATTAAATCGACATAGGTATAATAGGTTTATGATCGATTGGGTAATTTTCACAAGAAATGTATCTCCACGAACGGCCTCCACTGTTGATGGGTTGGGCGGACAGCGGCGAAGTCTGTTTGTGGAGAAACTATTCCCCCCCACCATCAGTGTTTGCAACAAGAATCCTGTTTTGTTTTCGGTGCATTTGAAGAACACGTAAGAATCATGCTCTTTTGTAACTCAAGATGATTGAAATTTTACACCGAAGGTGGCAAAGTGAGTCCACACCCTTTTTTTTTTGTTGTTGGTCTCACTCCTCTTTATTATGTATGTGTGTGTGGTGCTCACAGAGATCGAATCCTGAACCTATTCCTCTCCGGCCACATCCCCAAATCCCTTTATCAGCAGGACCGCATGTCTGTTGGCACACCTTGCTTCTTGACTCCCATATATTTGTCGACATTAAATAAGTTCCTTAAAATTTCATAAAACATGTCAAAATTAATTGAAAACGAATATAGTATATGGAACTTAATGGTGTTGTGTTGGATCATACATATTCCAAACCCATTTTAATTAGAATAAAAATCAAAAGACATTTTACGTCATAATTTGATTTGTATGGAGCAGACGTCCTATTGGTATAATTTTTCTTTTTCGGGGTTTGACCACGTAAAAGTTAAGTCACAGGGAAAATTGTCGAGAAGCTTTAAATCTATTGCATTTTTATCAATTAAGTCCTAAAATTTTTCACGTTTTATCAATTGAGTTCATCCGATCAATTTTATCCGAAAATCGCTAACATGGACGCTGGCCGTCCTATGTGGCAAGATGAGTGCTGACGTTAATAATTTTAAATAATATTTTAATATTATTTGAATTTTTATATTTTTCTTTTTCCTTTTTCTATTCTTTTCTTTCTTTTTCTTTTTCCTTTTCCTTCTTTACTTTTTTTTTTATTGTTAAGGGCCGATAGGGGGTCGTCAACCATCGGCTGAGGCCCTACGGCCCCCGCCGGCCACTAGGCATACATAAATATATATATGCATAGATATATTTATACATAAATACTAGGGGTAATCGATTCCCAGTTCGATCTGATCCCACCTATTTCCGAGAATCGAATTAGAAGGACCGGTTCCCAGTTTCTAGAACTAGGGACCGGACCGATTGTTCCGGTTCGGTTCCAGGCGGTCCAATGTCTAACCCGTACGACAAGTGCTGGAAAAAAATCAAAGACGTGGCCTCCTTTTTCGTCGCCCCTCTCAAACTTCTCACCACGCGGCGCATGTGGGGCACCACGTCATACAACCAAGTCACCAAGGAAGAGACGCGGGAGGCGGCGGTGGGTGGGTTGCGGCCGGTGTTGGGCGGCCGCGAACGGCGGAAGATGGCGGGGAGAGGAGGTAGTTGGCGAAAGACGTCGGCGGTAGGCGGCCGACGGCAAGAGGCGGCCGGTGGTGGCGGGAGGCGGCCGGCGGTGGCAGGAGGCGTCCGGCGGCAATAGCGAGCGGCAAGGGGGTGGCCAGCTAGTAGCGAGGGCGAGCGATAAAAAGAGTTTTTATTTCTCATTTCTGTTCCAGAAATAGAAACGTAAATTTTTTTACTTCTGATTTCTGTTCCAAACCTATTTCTAGAATAGAAATTTGGTTCAGAAATAAAAAAATGAAATTGCGTTACCAAACGAATTTCTGTTTCAAATCTATTCTTGGGAACAGGAAAATAGAAAAATAGAGAAACAGAAATGATTTTATGCGCGCCCATTAGTGCAAGTTTCAATGTTCGTGGATCAGTTCAATCAAAAACTTTTTCACAGCAAATGGCTGTGAAGGAAATCTCATGGAGGTCTACAGTCACAAACTGTTGCACAACCACAGAAAGAAACCAAGACATGCTCGCCCAAGAAAGAGGTGGCAAAGTAAAACACATTCCAGAGGCTCTCTCTATCCAGTTTGATAAACACCAGTTCAACGACGCTCTCGGAGGACCTCTTGATATCGCTCGCCGGATCATACTTCAACGGGTTCACCCTTCAGGAGCTCAAGCTGATCCCACAGAGACTCTGAGAGAGTGAATGAGAGAACAATTTTGCAATGGAACGTCGTCATTTTAATTAGTTCCGATTGCCACATTGTCTTGTTTATTTTCTACTTTGGACTTGGGGTTTTTTTTTTGGGAAAAAATCATGTCGGACTGAAAATTTTATTTATAAAGCCACGTAAGAAGAATTGAGTGGAATTCGCACTCAAGTGAACAATTTTATACCGATGTAATAATCACGTGATCGAAAAAAAAAGTTAAGGTACTCAACTGGGCGCCGTGCAGAAGTCACAATACTTGTGGTGTCTTTATCCCTTCTCAACTAAAGTGTGATCTCTAGTGTCTTGTCCGCATATAGAGACACACATACATTGCGATAAAATTGGGCCTCGCAGATGTGTATCTTGGCCCACAAGGCGATCGGCGAGTTCCTGACGCACTACGGCTGGAACTCAACGATCGAGGCGCTGAACCACGGGCTGCCCCTAGTGCTGTTCCCCGGGGGGAGCTCGGACTAGGGCCTGATGGCCCGGTTCCTGCACGAGAAGCGGGT